TATCAAAGGTGGCAATCTGTGCATTTGGACAAAAAAATGTTATTGATATGTCAATACAGATTGATTTGAATATAATCGTCTCCTTCAAAGAATACGGTTCAAAACCTGCATTAAATAAAGGTTAATACTTAACCTGTTATTTATCTAAGATGTCGTTCAGAAGAGTTTTGTGACTGCCAATGGAATACAAAGTCAATAATTCGTTTTTCTGATTTACTAATAATTGTCCAAAAGTCACATTGCCGGCTTTGATAATAGTCGACTCACTTACAGTACCCATATCAAACATTTCATGACAGCAATGATATCATGCTAATTAATTAACAGTTTTAATATAATCGCATTATTCACGCAACACTACATAATTAAACTAATTAAAACGAAATAGTATGTAAAATGTTATGGTTTTTTCCGTATGTATACAAAAATATTTGTTTAATCTTTGCAATTACAAGCTGCCCACCTATAAGCTCATCCATATATAATATATGTTTAGAAAAGATAATAATATTACTTTATAATACAGTAGGTACACGCTTTGTTATGAAAATCATACATTAGATTATTTTTCCTCTCATAATAGCTAACGGGAATTAGGTACTTTATATATATTAACAAAATTCTTTATGGAGACAAATCGTTGAGTCTTTTGAATCACACAAAATCTATAATTTTAACAATACTGTAAATATCATTTCGCACCAGCACAGGTACAAATTACATCAATGAAAGATCTTGTTAATAGCTTAGGCACTAGTTTTCAAAATTCAAGAAAAGAGAATCCGTGCTATAAATATCTTCATATAGTGTACCATAGTAATTAGTGTTAACCACGGAATAGATAAATAAGGTTGGAAAGGCCTTTGCTCTAATTTTGTATTAGAACCAGTGTCGCCGCTTCATCCCCACTATTTTAATTTCTACACATACACATACTGTGATTACAAGTATTTCGCACACAACAAAAACACCCACACATAAATCTCAGGACAGATATTCGTTCGCAAACTAGCACAAAACACCCGTAGGCATACACACTCACACACGCAAAAAGGCAATAAAAATGTTCATACACGCTAGTGCTTGATAAAATCGATATTCTTTATCGATAAATTATCTGATGAATGAATGGAGAAAATGAAACATGAAATAAATATTGAAAAAAAAAACTATTTTACTTTTATTAATTACAAATAGTCACTGTCGCTGGAATAAAACGTATTTGTTAAGCAGTTGGCGCTTGCTATTAATTGCGAATGAATTTTTCAAAACTAAGTGTATTCTGATTTTTTTTATGATAAAATCATTTTCAGTAAAATGTTTAGAGCAAATAGTACTCGTCTTTGTCTCCAGTTTCCTCTACCTGTCACGTCAATCCATTGTTCCCTGGCGTTAGGTTCTTTAGGAAACCTAAAATTTTTAATTTACTGCATAAGTCAAATAGCATTTTACTTAGATTTTAATACGTCTTAGACAATATAGTAAATACCCGTAAATTAGAGGTCTACATGTCCCTTTATATTATACCTTCACTTTAATTCAATGATAATAATTCAATAATAATAATACATATTTATTTTACTCAAAATACGTCTCACTAAGAATATACTAGGTATCATTAATTAAATATAAAATAATGCAAAAATTATCCATGTCAAATGTAAATATAGTCGAGAATTCTGTCGATGATTTTACCACATGGTCACCTCACTATCGACAAACTGCACGGCCAATCAGGGCAAAGGCCGAAATTTCAAAGATTGAAGTGTAGAGAACGCAATGCATGTAGTACATTGGAAGCTGACTTGGTCATTGCGTTCATTGGGCGAGTACACATCGCGCAATGTATGCTATTTATAACTTGCTGCAATAATATTGTTAATGTTTGGAATTTCATAATGCTCAGTATATTTTTATGTTTTAGACAAATAATATTGTAATTAAATGGTAATTTCGACTTACCGATCGAAAGATATACCTCCTCGCTCTATACTTGAGGTCTGATTTTTTGTTTTACAAGTTATAATTGCACAACACGGCACTATAAAGCGGAGATCTGTTCGCCAAAGTAGTCCGAAGCGCACTAAACGCGGTGAATGAAAGAATCGGTCGAGTTATGTTTGTAGAATCATAACTGTGGCACGCTTGCCCCGCCTACATTACCATTCCAACCTTATTTATCTATTCCGTGGTGTTAACATTACTATAAGTCTATCTTAGGTTAATGTCACTAAATACATTGTATGTATCATTTCATAACTTTAATGGAATTTTTTGGGTTACTGATCATTCTTACACTTTTTGGCTACTATTTTTGGCTATAAAACTACCTATGTATAATCTACCAAATCTATCCCAGTAAAATCCAAATTCAATCAAATCAGTTTTCGATATATTCCAAATACTAATTACCTACATAATGATTTCCAAACTGTAGCAACGTGTTTAATGATCGTCTATCCTAAAATCCTAAAAACTATAATCACATCACTAAAGGACCAGTCCATAAAGAGCTCTTGAAAATTATAGCTGCCTATATTAAATTTCACATTGTTTTGTTACAGTTAATATTTGACAACGGCACTCATGACGATGGTCTCCTAACCAGAGAAAAGTTCATGGAGGTTCACGAAAGGATGGAAGCGAGACGTGAGTTCCTTAGAAGCGGGTGCTCAAGATTCGGTCTCGATAGCCGTGGACAAAAAGCTAATGCTTGGGAGTATCTGATAAACAGACAATACCACGTTATATGGTAAGACGTGCAAATATGTTGCACCAAAAAATATAATTAAGTTGTTCATTATAACTTCAAAGTAAAACAAAATGAAATGTTTTGGTTAATACAACAGTAACAAGCCAACAACTAAATTTAAAAACAGTGTTTGCAATTCGTTACTTTATTCACTATATTATTACAATAATATCAAATAAAAACAATCCTTTCAGGTGTAATATATTTAAAGCAGCTTCAACTTCGTGGATGTACAACTTCAATTTGATGGCAAATTATTCCGCTGCCTTCCTTGACAAAACCAAAGAAGTCCCCCTGGTATTAGCGAGAAGGAAATACGCAAGGCCTACAATAGAAATGATAAAGAAAGNTTACTTTATTCACTATATTATTACAATAATATCAAATAAAAACAATCCTTTCAGGTGTAATATATTTAAAGCAGCTTCAACTTCGTGGATGTACAACTTCAATTTGATGGCAAATTATTCCGCTGCCTTCCTTGACAAAACCAAAGAAGTCCCCCTGGTATTAGCGAGAAGGAAATACGCAAGGCCTACAATAGAAATGATAAAGAAAGCACAACCTGATTCGATAACATTCCTAATAGTTAGACACCCATTAGAAAGGTTAGCTTCGGCGTACAATGACAAAATTGTACACGCTTGGCCTAAATCGTTTCACGATAAAATGGGTCGCATGATTATCAAGAAGTATAGAAAAGTAAGTGTTCTTCTTCTTCTTATCAGCCCACAGACGTCCACTGTTGGACATAGGCCTCCCCCAAGCCTCGCCACAACGACCGATCCTGCGCTGGCTGCAACCAGCGGATCCCCGCGAACCGCGATAGATCGTCGGTCCATCTTGTGGAAGGCCTACCCACGCTACGTCTTCCGGTACGCGGTCAACACTCAAGAACTTTCTGGCCCCAACGGCCATCCGTTCTACGAGCAATGTGTCCTGCCCACTGCCACTTCAATGTGTTCTTCTTAATGCTTTTTAATAAGTGATATAATCTTAATTTTTTTCCTACCTTTTTTTTAACGCTGGGAAAACCATTTTTTTCCTACCTAAGCTGATGGTCTAGAGAGACCATTTCAGCGTCGCCGGGTTAAACTTCTTAATAAGTGTTCATTTAATAGTATTACTTATAACTAATTTTATTTTGGGTATCATTTGCTGTAAGATGTTTTGCTGTAATGAATTTAGAAACCTCCAAATAACATACGCATTTTGTACAAGAAGCTTGTTATGTTAGGATGAAAAATAGAATCTTAAATTGAAAATGTAATTTATGAAATTTTGTAATTCGTAATTTATTTATTTTTCTTTTACAATTTAATTATTACAGTCACAGAACAAGCCCGTACCAACGGAACGATATCCGGTATTCGAAGAGTTCGTATCGTATGTACTAGACGAGACGAGAGCTAGGCGGTCCCTTGACATGCACTGGACGCCGTACACAGATTTCTGCACACCCTGCAGATTCGCCTTCGATGTGATATTGAAGTTCGAGACCTTAGACGTGAGTTGTTCAGTTGAAAACCGAATATAAAATATATCTCGAGGGGTGATTGGCTGAAGCGATATTTCTGCAATTTTGCAGGAGAGTCATTTAAAGTTTAACATTTGGAAAATTATATAATAACAAAAAATACTTTAAGTAGCTATTTGAATGGAGAAACTTAATAGAAGTTCAATTAAAAACATCGAACTGTTGATGCTAATACCAAATAAAACGCACCTTTAATTCCAAAGATTTTTTTGAGGGATTTTATGACCTGGTAACTAAGACCTTCGTGTCTTATTTTATTTTATATTCTTATTTTTATGAAAACTGATAATATGAAGAGAAATAAAATGAATTTGATTAATCTGAAACATGGCATGAAATTAAGTGAAATGAAATGAAATGAGATGAGATAATATGGGATGAAATATAATCTCAGTAAAATGGTGGTAATTTACTGAGACTTTTTCAGTGGACTTTTTGGAGGATCCCGAGAATTTGCGTCCAGCGGCTTTGTTTGATTTTCCCACATTTGTGCACTTTCACAGATACTAAACGGTTAATAAACCACCGTTATTACATATTTAAACCTGAAGAATCACTAAATAGACAAAATAAAATAAATCACACAACATCACTCCTCGCGTTCCCGCCAAAAAGTTTTAATTAATTCCAAAGATAAATGTCGCGAAATGTTGCCGTAAGCCAAATAGCTTTTCATACCCCTCGATATATTATTATTTCAACATAACCTATAAGAATATATTTTTAAATGCGTTCCATTATTTACAGCTTTATTTAATAACCAATATTAAAATCAACTCTGACTTTAGTGATAAATAATTTTTTTGGTACAATTTGAGACAATCGCTGTGTCCCGTTTAGTAAAATCAATAAATTTCGATGACACACCGACAACTATTACTATTGTTGGCAATAACTATTACTTATTGCCAACAACAACATATCGACTAATCAAAAAGCGGAATTATCGGAAGCGTTCAACCACAGCGATTTGACCGCAATTCGTGGACAAGAGCGTTATTGTTAAACACTGAACCGAAACAGTTAGGGACGTTTGTTTTTATTGTAAAACCATTCCGGTGGAGCGTTACGGTCGTCCCGAAGACAAATTGGTGTTCCTATTCAGAAAATATATACAGGGTGTGTTAGAGCCGTTAAAGGTGTTGTTCCCATTCCGAAAATAAATGACTGACTCGATGGTGTAGTAGTTAGCGCTCCCGTCTATTGCGCCGAGGGTCGTGGGTTCGATTTCCGTGTTAGACATACATTCGTGTGATGAACAGGTTTGTTTGCTCGTTGTCTAGGTGTTTATTATCTATAATAATATATATGTATACATTTAAGTATGTATGTCAGTCTCTGATATTTATAATACAGGGTATCCTAATTTGGGGTGACCGTACGTGATTTTTCCTTTTATTTATTATTATTATTATTATTATACAGGGTGCTACATGTTAGAGATATTCTCCACACCCCACAAAAAATCCCAGTTAAAGTACTGGTGATTACTGTCATGTTAATAATAATTTAATATTTTTCTTTGCAAAAATATTTATTAAGTTTTTATTGCAAACTGCCTTCCTGTAGCTCATTAAAAATATACTTACCAAAAAAGTATTTAATCATAAAAAATAAAACAATATTTTTGTTTGTTCTAGAGTTGTATTTTATTCCTTTTTCGAATTTGGACATGCTCATTTACACCCTGTATGTTGTAAGCTAACCAAAAACGGATGTGCTCGGTCGGTGACACTTGTATAGTTCAAGAATAGACTACATTTTTGTGTTTTTTATTACAGTAGAGCTCAGAGCTTACTTATGATTACATGAATACTGCCCAAGGAATTCACAACATTCAGCCACTAACTTCAAGAGATGAGGTCGAAGTCCTAATAATGTCTGTCCTACTCTTCAAACTAGTAGTAGATGAATAGTGGTACCCGTGCAAGCTCCACCATCATGGCGAGTACGATTTTACAGTATTGTGCTATACATTAATTTTTATTTAACTCTTTCAGGAAGATCAAAGGTACTTGATCCAGCTGGCCCGTCTCCAAGACGTAGTGAAGCCAGAGTGGCGTAACAGCGGGAAAGGGACGAATACTTTACATAACATCAACCACCTCTATTCCAGACTCAAAAGGTCTCAACTTGATGGACTTTATAAGTTATATAAGTAAGTCTGTATTATAAAATTCTACTAAAAACTATTAGTTGTGATATAAAAAAAATACTATACGTTTGTTCACGACGAAGCGAAATGGTAAAAACGAACTCGCAGAAAAGCCAATGGGTTCGTAATACTGAGCTGCCTATTTCTGCCATGAAGCAATCCTGTGTTCCGAATCAAAATTTTATTATAGTCAATAATTATCATTTTAATGGACCTTGAGACTTCGTCCTCGTATCATAAGGTTGATTTTTTATTAATTAGTCTATGGGATCATGAGCTTACCCGCCTGTCTAAGCTAATTAACAGTGCCATAATTGTAAGCTATTATTCAGTAAGTTACAAAATTTACAATCCCAGACAGGTCGAGCTACTGTGTAAACTTATCCCTAATTTATTAAATGACTATAAGTTCAAACGGAGGAAGTTATCAATTCGAATGTTTTTTTTATTATTTATTTCTCAGAACTGTTTTTCTAGGTGAACCGATTTTGATGATTCCTTTTTTATTCGAAAACTGATGCTTCTTATGTATTTATTGATATGAGCTCAATTTTATCAAGAACTGATCAGGAGTTTTTCAATTATCCTCAATAATAATGTACATTTAATTGATTTTTACTACATGAATGATACAGTAATTTTATATTTTTTTTATTAAAATTTTGTTTCATTGACTTGTGATAATAGTAACTACTTAATAGTAAGGAGGTATCACTGTGCTATTCCTTTCGAAAAGCAATCACGGGTTCTGTTTGAAACAATAAAATGCACAAATGACATAATGATTGAAGCCGCCGCGCCGTGGTCTAGAGGATAAGACGTCCGGTGAATTCGTATGTAGCGATGTGTCGGTGTTCGAATCCCGCCGGCAGTTACCAATTTTTCAAATGAAATACGTACTTAACAAATATTCACGATTTACTTCCACGATGAAGGAATAACATCGTGTAATAAAAACCAAACCCGCAAAATTATAATTTGCGTAATTACTGGTGGTAGCAGGTCTTGTGAGGACTCACGGGAGGTACCACCACCTTGCCTATTTCTGCCGTGAAGCAAGTAATGTGTTTCGGTTTGAAGGGCGGGCAGCCGATTTATTAAAAGTGAGACCTTACAACTAATGTCTCAAGGTGTGTGGCGGCATTTACTTTGTAATGTCTGGTAACCACTTAACATCAGGTGGACTGTGAGCTCATTCACTCATCTAAGCAAAATAAATAAATAAATAGAAACCTAAGATTTCGATCTACCATCTAAACGTGGCACACGGTATAAACGTCCCAATACCTATGAGCTTTGGCAAGCCCACAAAACCAGGAGGCCGTGAGGAAAACTAAAATTAAAGTGACATGTTATTTAAGATGCGATCCATCCTTTCCAGATACGATTTCCAGCTCTTCAACTATACTATAGATAGTTATTACGAGATAGTTCAAGGTGACACGAAGCACGGATGAATGGGCTCAGGATGGTACTGCGAATTCATTCGAGGTTCAGACGAAAGCCTGACGAAGTAATTCATCGGACGCCATAGCCGATTGATTGACTTTTTATTGATCATTGTAACTAGCTAAGCGTTACGTTTAATTCATAAAATATCGTTACTGGTTTTTTTTTTTCGGGGATTTCTGTGTTTTGTCGCCTGACCTTTTTAGAACAATTTTAGTTTAGATTACATTTTTCTAGTTTAAGATTCTAGGTCTAGTGTCGTATTTTTAATGTCTATGACTGGTTTGTTGGTGATATAGTTGTTTTTCAATACATATTTTAATGCTTACGAATAAGAATTGATATTTGACAGTATCATTTAACGTTAAAAATAGGTTATAATTAATATAGTTATTTCTAGCATCTTTAAAAGTGATTAATTCATTGTACTGTTTTCAATGTTCATGTAACTGATGTTTTGAAGCTTTAGTTTGTTTAATGTATCGTTTTTTGATAATAGATTCCATCCATGTTTCATTGTAGGTTCTCATAGACAATATTAATCGAATTTTAACTAAAAGTGAGAAACTAAAATACAGACACATCTATATATGTAGGTAGTTGTTATTATGCCGTTAAATTTTAATAGAAAGCCATACTACATTTTCAAGAAAGAAAAAATGGATGGCCATGTTTTCTGTCAGGCTTTCAATAATTCAATCAGTATAGGTGTGTGTATTCACTAAAACGAATATTAAGTTAGGTGAATTCCCGTCTTTATATGACATTTAACATGACACTGGGGAGTGGTTATTTACGAATAAAAGACCAATCTTACAGCAATCGAATGAAGCCTGGAATACAATTTTTTTAAGCTCAGTGTATCAAAGGTATTTTAAAACAATCGTCCAAAATCATTAGGCATCAGATTAAATGTGAAAAACGTTTAAAAAGTAGTACATAGACGTAAAGGCAACGAACTCGATAAAGTTTATTGCGATATGGAATAGAATCAAAATTAATAAATTAGGATTGTTGAGAAAATAAACGACCTAAGTATAGATGCTGTTGAGATTTAATATAAAATATAGTAAGTATACATAGTTGTAAAGTAGGTAATAATGAAATCATAGATCAGTACTTGTCAAACGGTGTCATTATAATAAAAATATGCAGATGTTCAGATCAAGTTTACTCAAGTTCAATAAGCAATACTATGTTATCAACCAGCAGTTTTATCGAATACGTAATAAATAAACAAAAAACTTTGAATAACTTTTATATTGTTGCCTGGCAACAAAATTAATTTGCTGCCTTTGCCATTAATAATAAAAATAATGTAATAATTAAAATCACAATAACAACGTGATTTATCCAAATGAATTTTGAATATCTTGGTAAGACCAAAGACACAATATAGGGACATCGTTTATATCTTTTCAGGAACGAATCAAATTTGTAAATATTTTTAAATTATAGTTCGTTATAAAAGCAAAGAAACAAATTTTAGAGTGCTTCCATAATGAAGATAATTTTATAAGGAAATTATTAGAGTAATTGTAAAAAAAACGTTGACAATCGTGCCTCAAATTCAGCCTAAATCACATAAATAAAATAAAAACAAATATGAACGTAATGTACTAAGTATTGGATAAGTAAAAAATTGTAAGTATGTATACCTTACCTTTTCTGTGTACAACGAAACGACATCACGCTATTGTCATTTTCCGTCATACTTCATAGATAAACGTACGTAATCCAAAATATCTGTAGTATTTTGTTTTTAAATAGGCGAATTAAGAGTGCTTTACTGTCTCGAGCGCTCCTCTTTGAATAGAAATAAGTTGTTATAATAAATAATTTCATAAATTGGTAGTTACCCGTATCTATTTTTTTTTTATTTCAATTATTTTGTAATCGTTATTGCAAAGAGGTGTTTTATTGTATTTTATAATTCCAGAATTGAGAAAGTTCTAATTTATGATGTATTCGAGATTAAGTGCTTAGGCTAATTTCAATGTTTTGAATATGTTTGTATGGATGCAGTTTGTTTATATAGAAATAATTGAAACCATCGACCAACCTACTAGAATATACTTTATCGATATGTAAAATTTTAGAAAACAATTTTAGAAGTTAATTATTAGTTTGATTGTTACCTGTCCACTGCCTAGCTGGTATTTAAGAGGTTATCTGTGTGCTTAATGCAAGTTTGTTAAAGTTCGCGATAGCGTAAAAACAGCGCCCCTAGCGGCAAACGTAGGCGTTCCAACTCCATACAAATTTGAGTTAATTTTTACGCTATCGCGAACTTTAACAAACTCGTACTAAGCACACAGAGCCCATAAACTATATAACTCGCTTTGGAATGACGGCGATACCACCTTTCAAACCGTATAAAGAGGCAGTACACTCGTCCCAATCAATGCAAGTACGCAATGCTCCTCCACGAACAGTAGAGATAGGAATGTGGTGAGAACTGTGTGTGAACTAGAAGTAGGGGAATTTAGGAAAGAAAATAACTTGAGAAAATTAGTTACGGACGAATGATTATGAAGTAGCTAGAGGAAGCCAGGTTTCGCACACTTATCGCTAAAAACCGGAGATAATCTAAGCAAATTGTCATGTTCTGTTTATTCACAATTGATTTTCTTTTGCAGTCAATTTGTTATTCACTTTCAATAATTAAGAGATCTGATGAAGTTGAAGCAAAAAAAAACACGTAAAAATATAGAAAATGTTTTGCACGTATATGGATCAATTGAGTTTGAGTAAAATAAGAATATTTTCGACTAGTCTTAGTGAGTACATACTGTAAAGTGATCTTAGCAAAATATTCTTTGCATTTATCATGTAAGTACAAAAAGAGCACATTACATATTGTTAGAAATTATAAATTTTATAGGATGTCAGTAGTTGTTAAGCTCGATGCACATGGAGCGATCATGTTGGTGTTAGCATATTAATCAAGGTGCCAGAAGGCACCAACAGTTTTAACCGACCAGAATAAAAGCTCACGCATTCATCCCATACATACTGACAGTACCGTTGTATTGAATATCACATATAGTTCCCACATTAAAAGAAAAAAAGATCTAGGAATCCACATACCTAGTTCTGAAATTTTTTTTTTCTAATAAGTGTCCTCCGAAACATTCTACTACCGGTCAATTAAAAAAAAGGGAGATTTTCGAAATTGCTTCATTGTGATAACCAGCAAGTATGATCGAGGTCCTCACATCCATATTTGCCGAAAATTTTAAGTAATTATTGTTCTTGGAAAATGCGATGAGTATAAATAAACGACGTGGAGTACTATTAGATCAAATTCAAATAAATTTCCATGAAAATCATTAAAATCCTTGTGCCATACCTATCGCTCTATGTGCATAGATTAAATATAAATTACGCATACTGCACATTGAGGTTTGTAATGCACCGAAAAATATAATTTTAACAGTAGGGGTCTCTTGAAGGATTAAATAGAAATATCGCACTCAGTACCATAGATAATAAATACACCTATTATTCTCAGTACTTGCAAGCCATTCAAATAGAAACACTTTTTCTAATGTTTAATATTTTGAATAAGTATAAAAATTTAGACCTGTAATTTCTGTAGTAAATTAAATGTAAGCTGAATTAACTTAAGCTTTGAACTTATAACAACCCATCGTAAATTTTGTGGTCCACGGTTACCCAAGGCCTTGAATTTAAAAGAATAAAACGCTAATATGTCAAACCTCAATGACAAACCACATAATTTAGAATACGGAATGATTTTAGACCAAAAAAGACATGGCCTATGATTGTAATTGTAATGGTGCTATAGTCCTATAGTAATTGATCTCACATCAGTATGAGGTGAATGAATTGTTGCTTAATATGTATTGAGTTATACCACCAATAGGCGGTTGTCTGTTGATAATGTAAAACAAATTTTAATTAGTACTTATAGATGAATAAATTAATTATTTCATAAATGTATTGTTTTATTTATTGCACCTCGTCTGCTTTATTGTTACAATATTGACACCTACTAACATTATTATTTTACCTTTGTTAGACCATTTTTTTAAAACTGCCTACTGTGATAATTTCATTATTTATTTATTTAACTTTATGCACAAGAGTATAGTGAACGTTATGGTATCAGCCCATAGATAATATATAGACTAATACAGTCTCTACTAGCTAGACAACAAAGAGCAGTGTAGTAGTAGGTTCTGTTGTAGTAGGTTCATAGGTTCAAGGATGTTTTCAGGGCCCTATACACTAAGCGACTCCTCTGCACTTTTCGTCCAAGCATCCGATCCCCTCCGGGGTCAGAACCTGGATGAGGTAAGGGGGTTACCGCGGTCAACACTACAACCATACGGCGCAGCTCACCCCAAGAACACCCGGCCGGCCGATTCGCCTCGAAGGCTCTGAAACGTCGGCCGTCTCGGTACGGCAGCCCGTCAGGCCGCCCAGACGGTGCCGCCGGTGTCTCGGAATACCCTGCTGGACCAGAACTAGCCTGCCGGGTCGGGACGCGGTACACCATCAACCGGTTGCTCTTTCGTACATAACCTTGGCCTAGAGGGCTGGTAGTGCGCCGCACGGCTTCTACCGCCTCAAGTCGCCTGTTGACCTTCACCGGTGGGGATAAAATTAACCTACCTATCTCATTTGTATTTAAAACAGTAGTGTTCAAATTTGTTAAATTCGATTTCTTATTATCCGATTGATGATTAATATTATTGCCTTCTAAATAAATTCTCAATGAGGCAGAAACTAAACAAAATTCCTAAGAATCATCAGTTCACACCAGGAAAATCTATTAGAATTATATAGAATTAAAGTTATAGAATTTTTTTAAATATTTTAATTTATCATAAGTAAAAAAACAATACTTTTTCCTTATGTAACTTGGACTAGATGCATCGGAAACTGTGGCACATAGTCCCGTTTCACTTGTACCTTGGTTTTATTCCTGTGAATAAACAAAATTAGTTAATGTCAGAAAGAAAGTAAAAGTGTAAAAGGGACTACGAAAACTGTACTAGTCGTAATGATCGTTCAAATATGATATATTTAATAGTAAATTAGTTAATTTTATCTTAGTTCCAAAAATATATTCCCTATTTTAAACATACTATCATATTTTCGGTTATTTTATTTAAATATTGGACTTTAAAGTGATAGTGGTCCAGGAGGAAAGGTGAACTCTTTACTAGTATTAATGGATGTGACTTAGCTAGAGTCCGGGATCATTATTCGTCAAATACGTAACTACTCAATACCAGATGCGTTCGTTAGTTTGTTGTCCATCTGGTACAATAAAAAAATGAAAAAAAGTCTGTTTTTTTTTTTTTTTTAGCATAAGTTTAGAATGTATTAATACTTACTCAGTCTTTTTCTTTCTTTTTGGTGTTTCTACAATGTTTATAGGATCTGTTGTCAGGATCACTGGTCTAACTGAACCAAAGAAGTCGGTGATAGGCACTTTACTAGGATCTCTATTGAATAAATCTTTTCGTACTCCCACTGTCGATAAGCAAGCACTTTTCGGACATACAGCCAACTGAAATTCAATTTTTTTTTAATAACAGCCAATATTTTGATCACGCATAAATAAAGATGTAAAATGTTAAGTTTTAAAGGAATTGGTTTCCTTATCTTTTTAATTACTTTATTTTACTTTCCTTTGTATTACAAAACTAAGAGATTATTTAGTATTTTCATTATCAAATACTGTCTAAAATATAATACTTGAATCAGATAATTTGGAATTAATTAAGGAAGCAAAAAGTTTAGAACTAATCAAATACGTACAAATTCCGACATAGTCCTTTTGCTGTTAGGGTGAACATTTTCCAAAAACTCCAGCACATAGTATGTGTATCTATCAATGATGTATACACCAATAGCTGAATCAACATGATGCTGAAATAAACAAAGAAAACTTACATAATTTTATGTCAATTAGAATATTTATGAGTTTTAAAGCACTACAGTGAGGTTTTATTTTTTTATTAATACTAATATTTTTTTTAATTATTATTAGGATAACCAGTGCTCATTTGCTGCAAAGTGATTTTCGAAATTTTATAATGTGTATGGCATCAACCACTTCGAGACATAATATCTATAATTTAATTGTATTGTCAGCTGGATGATTGGAACAGAACATATTAACGCTTAGCAACAGAAATAAGGAGTATAGCGGGCTACTGGCGAAAGCTTCCAATACATACCACCGGTAATTAGGATAGTTTTTTGCAGGTTTCATTTCCATTACTTTTCTTTAAAAAAAATTATTTTTGTTTGATTGTAATTGTTTCATAATCGAAGTTCTTAGTAACCAAAATAGTAATTGAAAATTTTCAGTCTGTGCATTTAAGCACATAAAATCCTGTTAAAACTAAAAATACTGTGGCATTCTTACAAGTTGCTTGTAGATAATCATCACATCTACTCATTACATTTCCTGAATAAGTTAATAATAAAAAGGCAAAAAATTACTCACAGAAAGTGAATCTTCACCAACCAAACTACTTGCAGTTGCTAATATATTTGGTGAATAAAACTTCTCATACATTGATGAAGCTTGACACGTGTCTATTATGAAGAAAATTTCATTATATCTGAAAATTGTTTTAATAATGTAATTATTTCTTAGTTAGTGTAGAGTTTAACCCAGACCTGTGGTATAGTATTTAGCAAATAGCCACTTGCCTAATGAAGTAATGAATTCATTATAGACAAATAGCTTTAAGAAGTATTTCATAGGTGGCAAATTTTTTTTTACAAGCAATCTGTATCAATTAATACCTGTTTTAAAAAGGTTATAGAATCACTTCGCCAGTTATTGTGAAAATACATGACAAGGGCAAATGTTCAAAAGAAAAAAAAATTTCTCCCACAATCTTACGAGAGGCATTAATTAATTTTGTTACCTTTTTTTCTGCCACATTTGTTCCAAAGCATCAGCAAGCTCTTGGCTGGTCACTTCTTCTGAGTCCTGAAACTTGAGGAAGCCATCACCACCATGGCCTGTTAGGTAGATTAGTATGTTACTACCTTCATCAGTCAGTAATTGCTTGGAGCGAGGTGTGTCAGGTGGTACTCTGCCAGTTAGCAGACGGATAAAATTTTCAACTGACACCTGTGTAGCAGAACAATGGCTAATTTATGAAATTATACATTTTTATTTATTATTTTAACTGAAATAGATAAATTGAATTCAGTCATTTAATCTATGACTCAATTGTTCATTTACATTTAAATAAAACCAAAAATCTTGGTCCAATATTTACAAGAACAAACAAACCATCTAAACACGCTAACAGTAAAACTCACTATACATATTATTATGGGCATAGTTGGGCTTTATAAGAGAAGGACAATATTGGTCAATTGTTGGTGCTTATAAATATAGAAATAGTACTGAACAACTTTTACTGGTGGTGGGACCTCTTGTGAGTCCGCACGGGTAGGTACCACTACCATGCCTATTTCTGCCAGGAAGCAGTACTGCAGTTCGGTTTGGAGGGTGGGGCAGCCGTTATAACCATACTGAGACCTTAAAACTTATATCTCAAAGTGGGTAGCGCATTATGTTGTAGATGTCTATGGGTTCCAGTAACCACCTAACAGCAGTGGGTTGTGAGCACGTCCACCCATCTAAGCAATAAAAAGAAAAACAAAATACAAAAAGTAATGCTTAATGATAATAGCATCAACCTACTACAGGACCTATCATCTGCTTAAAATTAAAAGTGATTGGTAAGGTTTTTTTTTAATTTGCTTAAAGAAGCACACGTCGTAGCGTTCGGGAAATATGGTATATGGCAAAAAATATCTCTGGAAACGCACTGTATATGAACAAAGCGGTTCTAGGCAGTATGGATTAACTCTCCCAGGTAGCAGGCAGTGCAATGGTAAAAACGATGAGAGCATTTCAAACGATTCCTCAGAGCCCCCATGGTACAAAATACAGAGAAAGTATCATTCCTTTATCATCTTATGACTGAAATATTCTGACTGAAAATATTTAATACCTCATAACCTCTATAATCTACTTCGACATCATCTCCATACACGTTGATCTGCTCATGGGCACTATTAAAAATAGTTGCTGGTCGAGGATTCCTTGGGTTACATGCCATATCGTCAGAAATCATTAGAATAATCTGACTGTCAGGTATTCCTAATCGTTTCACACTCCGATAAATCGATAAAACATTCGCAACGTGACGATAGTTAAACCAAAATCGTGAAGTGTCCACTAGCACAGCCCAGTTATTCGTGTGATTCGACTTCTGAAATTCTTCTGGTATCTGAAAAATTCAATTTTTCAGTATCGAATATTGCAATAAAATTTCATACTTCATTCTTCATCATACCTCGATTCCTGATGATAATGATAAATATAATAAATTAAATATGAATACTAGCATAAGATTTGTAAAAGCCATTCTCCTCTTCTTTCCTTTTTTATTTTATTAAAAATATCCAAGTTATCAGTGAAACATTTTCAGATGTTTCAAAATTTTCAAATTCTTTTGCTTTGTTTTTTTTTTATGTTATGCTTTATCATTGGATAAGCATAAGTGTCCCTAGCCCATACGTACTAATTTTTGAGAACAAACCTATTATTACTATGCGAGTGTTTGAGTATTTAGCGGTTTTGGCTATATTAAGTGTATAATCTATGGTTTTGGCTCTGCCTCTGGCATTGCTGACTTTTTGGCGGGAACGCGAGGAGTGAAGTTGTGTGATTTGTTTTATTTTGTCTATTTAGTGTTTCTTCGGGTTTAAATGTGTAATAATGGTGGTTTAATAACCGTTTAATATCTGTGAAAGTGCACAAATGTGGGAAAATGAAACAAAGCCGCTGGACGTAACTTCTCGGGATCCTCCAAAAAGTCAATTGAAAAAATCTTAGTAAATGTCCACCATTTTACTGAGATTAGATTTCATCTCTTATCATCTCATTTAATTTCATCCCAGTTGATTAATGTCTCAAATTAATCATTTTCATTTCATTTCACTCCATGATATCATTTTTCATAAAATTAAGAATATACATTAAAATAAGATATGACTTAAAAGTCTCAGTTACCAGGTCATAAAATCTCATTAAAAAAACTNTTAGTAAATGTCCACCATTTTACTGAGATTAGATTTCATCTCTTATCATCTCATTTAATTTCATCCCAGTTGATTAATGTCTCAAATTAATCATTTTCATTTCATTTCACTCCATGATATCATTTTTCATAAAATTAAGAATATACATTAAAATAAGATATGACTTAAAAGTCTCAGTTACCAGGTCATAAAATCTCATTAAAAAAACTGGCATTGCTGAAGGCCATAGCCGACGGTAAACATCGGGTGGGCCTTAAGCTTGTCTACCTACAAGCGCAATAAAAAAAAATTACGATCAATATGAAGATAAATTTGTATATTTTTTTGTGAGCATGTGGTGTATGAATTTGGATGATTTGTTCCTTTTTATGAAATTAATGTTTATTCATCCATAACTGTGTGATTATTAATGGATTACGTACCATTTAGTATGTGTCAAAGTGCACAAGTGATGGAAATGAAACTTAACTGACTGAACACGACTTCCCGGGCTCTTTAAAAGTACTTTGAACTGTTTGTAAATTCACGAAATTTCACTAACGGGCTATTTCATTTTATTTCATCTAACACTTATAGAGTAAGATCTTGATTATTTAATTTTTAACTGATTTTCTTTTAATATTAATAATTTATTGATATGAGTTAACCGCAAGAGAGAGACAGAGAAGTCAAAATATTTTAATACATGTCTCACTCAGTCTTATGTGCGTGGATAATGCCCTCGCGCTGTTACCCGCAGAGGTATTAAATTGAATTTAGGGGATGATTGGCCCCTTGGATTGGTCTGTCTTTTTGTAAAAGGTTTTAAAATAGCTGTCTGGTGGACATATAAAAATCAGCTTTCAGAATTTATGTGAAGTGAGGTCATTCTTTTGGGAGCTTTAAAGCGTCTGAAAAACAATTCGGCCGACGGAAAGTGTCTGGGAGTATTGGCGACTTATTTTTAAGGATATTGCCTAAAATATACGTTCTTAGTTCATACTAACACTACGCAATCGGCCACATTTCGTTCGTCAGAAAATACGTAACGTCTGGGGGCCCTGCGATCTTGGACTACTACGGTGATGCTTAATTTTAGCTCACTTAATTCCATTTAAATCGTTTAAATTTTTAAATGGCTACTTTGAAATTTATTATCAAAGAATTGTATGTTCTATGTTCTTAAGCCTGTCGAATTGACAAATAAAAAAGTAGTGAATGTCAGCCTAACCTTAAATGTCAAAAAATAACGTAAACATAGATCGTAGTTTGTAAAATTGTTTTAAAATTAACTATGAGCAGCCGTAACCCCAACACGCTAATGAGCGTGCCTGATGACCAGTTTGATTATTTATTCAAAATAGTTCTCATAGGAGACTGCGGTACCGGTAAAACATGTATAGTGCAGCGTCTTAAATCAGGAAATTTCATCGAAAGACACGGAAATACTATAGGCGTAGACTTTTCTATGAAAACATTATTAGTCGACGGAAAGAAAGTCAAGGTTAGTTGCATTATATAAATAGGTTAATACTGCGTTGATTCTATTACGTCTAATGGCACATGCTTTTTTATTAGCTGCAAATTTGGGATACAGCAGGCCAAGAACGTTTCAGGACTATCACTCAGAGCTACTATCGGTCTGCAAATGGAGTCATTATCGGTACGTCAGAATCTCCCACTGGACAAAGTATTTTATAATGAATCATGAATATTAACAATTATAATAGATATTGTAATTGAATCCTGCTTTTCAGTTTATGATATCACAAAACGTTCAACATTTTTGTCCCTGCAAAAATGGATTGAGGAAGTGCGTCGGTATACGTCCTCCAATGTTATAGTATCTCTAATTGGAAACAAATGTGATCTAACAGAGCAAAGGGAAGTTGAATCAGATGAACCAAAATCTTTTTGTCGATATGTCCCGGAGATAATGTTTGTAATGGAAACATCAGCCAAAGACAATACCAATGTTGAAGATACATTCCGAAGTCTGGCTACAGAGCTGAAGGTAGAGTTTAAAATTATCTTTAAATGTTTTTATGGTTTCATTGAATTGAATAACTTTATTAAAATAATAAAATGAAAAATGTGGAGAATAAACATCATTGAACAAATAAGGAAACATAGCTTTATGCTGTATTGACAAATTACAAATCTACACTCTCTCTTACTGCATGTTCACAAACTGTAAAGATACCAAATAAATGAGAGTTTATGCTTTGTTATGCAACAAATTGATGTTCTGTCTTTAGAAACAGCTCCCTTAAGCTCTACAAAATTACCTTTATAATATGTTTCGCAGCTATTAGTCACACAGCGGTTGCCAAATTAAATTGAAATTTGATGTTGTTACAGCAAGCATCCTTAATACTCCAATGCACAATGACAATGTTGTGAAACACCTTGTAGAATTGTACAGTGAAAACTGTTTAGTACAGAAATCATCAATTTCAAAATTTTAATTCACTGTTGTGCTTTATTTTGTACTTACACAGTGGTCTAGCAAATTTCGAGATACATCTTTTTTTATTACTCGTAAATATCTAAATCAATTCAAAACACAGATTACAATTTTATAATTATTTTCTTAAAACAAACATAATTACACTTTTCGTTAATACCATTAAAATTATGATGGTAATAAATTGTATTAATTACATATTTATTTTTAGTCTCTTGTGAATTTATGAAAAATTTCAGAGACAACATGACAACAGTGAAGGCCCACCAGCCGAATCGGATTCAGTAGTACTTGGAGAAAGCCATTCAATTTCCAGATGTCAACCTTGCCGCTCCTCCTAAATTTCTGCTCATAGTTAATTATTTGACTAACAAGACCAACAAGACCTATCTTGTATAGGTTCATGTGCATTTTGTGTTTATCTACCTTTGACAATTACTATCAAAATATGGTTATTACAAAAAAAAAATAGAAAATTAAGTTCAGAAATATTTAAAAGTCCCACAGTTATCTATAATTTTGAAATGTATACTTTCAATAGTTGAAAGTTCAGAAATTTAACTCATTATTGAGATTCATGAAGTATTTTTATTTTTTACCTTGTTAAGTAGATGAGCAAGATGAGCATAGTATAGCCCTCGAGATGGTGAGCAGTCACTGTCGCTCTTATAGCTCAGTAATACCAGGAGCATAGCATGTCTGCTACCTACAGAGTGCACTGAATTCACTATTCCATCCATTGATTTTTTGTCATTAGCATTCTCATCAAGCTAAAGTCATTCAATTTTAATAACTGACAATGATCTCACAATACTTAATTTATTTATCTAGTTATCAAATGGTGTGATAAATGATAATTATGCATATGCAACCAATATATTAGACAAAATATTAGTATGTATAAATGCTTATGAAATTCACACGTTGCTATCATAACCTTAATAACTTAAAGTTTAATCATGCATGTTGTGTAATGGTCACAAAGAATATGATACAATATGTAATGTGTATTAAGTATTTCATACAAAGTCACAACTAAATATTATATTTGCATATTTAGGATACACGCAAACGGTGTATGCATATTTCTAAATCTATGTTTTTGTTGTCTTTTCATCTAATCGTGTAATTAACACAAATAACAGCTGACATATGCATCTATAATATGATCCAGCTTTACTTAATGAATCTCTATTAATTGTTGTTAATTGTACTACTATGATATTTATATAATAGGGAAACGGACAACTCATACTTTTCACAATTGTCACGCAAACTTTTAAAAGCCTTGCGGAACACTCCGTTCATCATTAAGTGTGAGATCATATCATTGCATCTAAAATTCGTTTAACCATACGTGCCTTGTGTGATTGGTATTTAGTTTGAAGTGGAAAAATGTAGAATGAATAGATTTTCTTTAATATTTCATAACATGTTTCATTAATATTACACTAAAATAGTAATTTAATATTGATCTTAATTTAATTAAGATTAATTATGATTTTCTTAATGTGTTTCATTGTTGTCCGGTTGCCCATTTTATTGAATTTGTACCTACTGAAATCTTTAATTGTAGAGAGCAAGATGAAGGCTAGTGAGTACCTAATGTCAGAATGTTTTGTTTTAATACAATATCTTAAATTTATTCTTTGAATTAAAATTTTCTTTGAATTCTTTGATAAAAAATGCTTGAATTTCTGTAAACAATTGTTATTAAGAACTCAAAACAATCCCTTATACCGAATGTCATTTGCCTTCATTTTCATCCAGCTTAATTTGTACAAATCGGATTAAGTAATTTTCATTGTTTTATTCATCATTACCGTTATCATCATTATGAAAATGAATAAATTGTTGGCTATGTTATGCTTATGTCGAATATATATTAATATGATTATCTGATATTATAACTTAAAGAGCAAATTAAATTTATATCCTGCATAATTTAAATAAACGAATGATGTTCTCTTAAATATTTTAGTGATTTATATAATGTGGCTTTAAGTCTTAATTTTAAGGAAATAATGAATAATATTTTATTTTATTTTTCAATTGATTTTTTAATAAGTTTCGAGAATGTATGTAAATAAATTGTAGATGTAAATCTATATGACCACCTAATCGGGACTGATTTAAGCCATACTTTAGTATGTACTTTTGATGTAGGATTTATATTTATTTAAAAGTTATACTGTCCTATAGAAATTTTGGTGCATAGTGTTTAAGCAAATAAAACTATGTAGGTCAATACTTTAATAGATTATTCAATTTTAGTGATGGGGGAAAGATTGATCTTTTAGATTCATTCAATATGATTTTTATTTTCAACAAGAACTGATTGCGATTAGGAAAGTTATGACTTTAATGTACTAATTTAACAGAAAAAAAGTATCATATTTCAAGAAAAAAATATTAAAATGGGTTAACTCTCTTTATTCATTTATTTCTAAGTATAATAAAGATAGTAGTAAGTTATAAAGTTTGAAATACTTAATCATTATAAAAATGTTATTAAATGAATAATAAATTGTTCTTAGTGTGTGTAATCCCTACATTACAGGAAAGCTCAGCATTCGTATCAATATTACAATGCCTACACTAGGCAAATTAAAGATAAAAATATAAATAAAATGCTGACTTGTAACTACGTTAAAATAATTAAATGTATATTAGAACTCAATGATTATGACATAGAAATTAATACTTAAAAACAAAATGTATAAAATGCGTATGTATATCGTAGTTTTTGCACCCATAAAGCATTCTATGAAATATCTGAATCTGCAAGCTTATGGACACAATTAACAAATAGACACAAGAAGTTAAATTATTTCAATATATTTGCGGGTATTTTGTGATTAGCGGCCCTACGCGTTCCTCTCGTTCAAAACAATTGCAACTAGGGGAATTATCAATTATCTTTTCACTGATTTAGAATTGACATTATGTACAACACGGGGAAAATGTTATAGGTAATGTAATCTAAAATAAATATAAAACTAAAATTCGTTTTAAGACGACTGAAGCGAATTCAATGACCTTTTAACTAGATTCTGTTATTAATTTTACAATAGCTGAATTTTGAATTAAAATATAATCAGTTGTCAAACAGTAAGTTAAAATTACCAGTGCTAGTCTCTAAACTTTTATTGGTAAGCCCTTTATGTAATTTGAAAGCAGGAATCATATTTTGCTAACATTAAGTTTTCAGAGATAATTTGTTCCGCGTACAAAGCCTTGAAACTAAATCCTGCCCGTAATAGTATAAAGATCATAGAATCAGCTTAATTTTTCAAACGATATTTTAGATGAGTAGCTTAGCGTAAATAATGCTTGTCGTGCCCCTAGGTGTTGCCAAGCTGCAGTGACCACTCACGATCAAATAGCACGTCCGCTAATCGTCATTCGAGTAGTAACAAATAATTTTAACTTAAATTGCAACAATTTGAGAAGTACCTTAAATGTTCCGTTCTGTAGGCAATCTGCGACTTATCATTATCATAATGTAGTGATTAAAAGATAACTTCAGTAATGTAGATTTAAGTGTTGCCCGATCAAATAATATGCAGTTGGTTCATGTGAGCTTTAATAACTTTCATAATAATTGTATTGTTTACTAGACATGTATAAATAAAGAGTACCTAATGTAATACCTAGTTAAATGGAAACGTATATGTTGAATAAAAAAATTGATTATTTATATTCACCGACTTTAGAGGCTAACGTGATCCGTCATTGTAAAATAGAGCGACAAGGATCCAAACACTGGCTAAAATCGAGACTAATATGCCGGCATCTTGTGAGACAACTTTGTAACAATTTTAGCGGCTCTAAATATTAAAGTACATTGAAGAATGCGTTTACTGTGATGACCTCCGATGAAAAAAAGCGTTTTAAAAAGAATTGATAGCATTTTGACCGACGCCAAAACTCCAACGTTACATCTATTTTCTTGCAAAAATGTCTTTCGTTTGTAACCTTTATCTTACCATAACTTGTTTAAAACTTTAAAGATTTTTTGCTTTAAAACAGTCACACAGAACTCTTTATTAGGTAAGAACTCATTACAATTTGAAAAATCTCAATTTCAAAATCTGAACAAATATAACGTTATATCTCTCTTATTGAGATGTTGAACCTTGTTGCCATTTTAAAAAAAACCTAGAATCTCATTTTGAGAGTTGTTAAAATAATATGAGATCTATAACTATGACTACTTAATATAAGCTTACTAGAGTGGAATGCAATATATTGTTAATTTTTATAATCGTAAGACATGTAAAAATTTTATTTGTATAATAATTAATTCATTTCAAAAAATAAAAATTGTTTTGAAATAAAATGCGCCATTTTTATATTTACACTAAAGTCACTTCGTTGCGATCATTGCTATTTATTTATCGGTAGTCTCATAATTTAAGTTAATTATCGTAGCGATTAAGACTAGCATTGACGTTATTAGCTAATAAAACTTGTGGTTAGAAGAAATAATTTAAATCGGCTAATAAAGCCTATTTTTATATAGTAGAGGGGGTTACTTTTCCCTTTATGGCAAAATAGGTGTTAGTGCAGAATGTAATAAAAATCGTATTTTAAACTCGCACGGGTAAGTATCACAATACTATCTATTTCTGCCTCGGAACTACTCTTGCGTTTCGGTTTAGAGCGTAGTTACGTTATAATTTTTTTGTTGTCTTAGCAGGCAGGCGAACGGACACAGTCATGGCCCTGATGCTGAATGGATTCCGTCCCACACGGACGAAAGTAATGCCAGCGCCACAGCCAAGCCACAGAGTGCTCCGCAAACTTTGAAGTCGTCGTGGCCTAACGGATAAGACGTCCGGTGTATTCGTGTTGAAGCGATGCACCGGTGCTAGAATCCCGCAGGCGGGTACCAGTTTTTCTAATGAAATAGGTACTCAACAAATGTTGACGATTGACTTCCACGGTGAAGGAATAACATCGTGTAATAAAAATGAAACCCGCAAAATTATAATTTGCGTAATTACTGGTGGTAGGACCTCTTGTGAGTCCGCACGGGTAGGTACTAGGTAGGCCTATTTCTGCCGTGAAGCAGTAATGCGTTTCGGTTTGAAGGGTGGGGCAGCCGTTGTGACTATACTGAGAGCTTAGAACTATATCTCAAGGTGTGTGGCGCATTTACGTTGTAGATGTCTATGGGCTCCAGTAACCACTTAACATCAGGTGGGCTGTGAGCTCGTTCACACATCTAAGCAATAAAAAAAAAAACTTTGTTTTTAGAATGATATGTCATAGAGCTTAACCTATAAAACACCGTGTAGGGGAGTTGATTCCAAAGCCGCATAGGAATTCTAGGAAGTAAGGATGAACTCTGCCCCAGTGGCGAACGTTGCGATGGTATAAAAGGAGATGGAGAAATCATTTCGAGCAATTCCTCAGAGCACTCTCAATGGAACACACGGTACTTAACACAGAGAGGACTGAAATCTCAACGTAGAACCAGAGGTTCCGAACAATCCATGAGAATTGTACTATCGACAATCCTGAGCCCTGGCCCAGAGATGAGAGCGGTATTCCACGCAGGGCCAGACTTGCGATTTGTAAAGGAAAAATCTTGTCCAAATTTAAAGTATCACTTCTCTGGGTTGAGGAGTATATACAATTTAAATTCTAGTATAAAATTGAGACTTCGCCGCATTCACGTTGTGATGTCTATACGTTTCAGTAATTAATCAGAACCAGATGAGCCTCGAGAGCGTTCAACCTTTTAAACAATAAAATAAAAACTCTTTACTTTCTTTTTTAGTCGTTCTGTCTAGCTTGAAACCAAGGGCGGATCCAGCTTTGGCGCCAGGAGGGGGTCACATAGTCGTGGGCAAGTTAAGAACTTATAATTTCATTTTGATAACAATAGATAATAAATAAATCATGATGTTCTTCAATTAATTTTGGGGGTTGGTGCTTCCCGCTTCCGTAGGTTTAACCCGCGATTCCCTACAAGTGACCCTTGGGTGGTGCTAAACGGGAGGCGAAAACATAACCGGTGGTAGGACCTAGTCTGACTGGCTGGCGACCACCCTCCAACTAAAGTCCGCCGCCAAATAGCCTAGCTGTGTTCCGGCGTGTCGGTTGGAGAGCCAGTTCTATCCCTTCCCTTTCCCCTTCCTTGTTGGGGGTGAGTTTTGGTGACGCCTGGAACTTGCGGAGCAGACGTACGTGCGAACTCACGGGGCGTGATTGTTTGACGGGGGTATAGGGAGACCCAGTGAAACGGTACCCGCTGCCGCCCGCCGGTCAGTAGGGGACCTGAACCCGGGTGTCTCTACTAAACTCCGCCCCGGGCGCTGTCCCGCCAACCGGTGTAAAATCCTGTCGTGCGGTCGTCGTGCCGGAGTCGGAGACCGGAGTGGATCCCGGCGATCGCACGCAGAGTGGACTGGGGGCCCTTCCATGCCCTGCGTCGGTCTCTCACGCAACCCGTGGTCGAGCACGTACTATGTTCCGCGCTTCGTTCAGGTGTTGTCTCGATCTCACCTCCAACATCCTACCTCTCCTAATCCTACTCTCCGAAAATTTTAAATCATGAAGTCGACAAAAAAAAAGAAAAGGGTTTCACAGGCGGTTCCCCATTCCACATTTAATGTGGATTTCAGCAATGTCAGGGGCCTAGATAGCAACCTTGACGCCGTACACCACCACCTTGAGACGGCGCAGCCTGCCCTGCTTTTTTTAACGGAGACGCAGATATCTGCTCCGGATGATACCTCATACCTTGAATACCCCGGCTACGTATTGGAGCACAACTTCCTGCGTAAAGCCGGGGTGTGCGTATTCGTCCGGGCTGATGTCTGTTGTCGCCGTCTTCGAGGCCTCGAACAACGGGACCTGTCCCTCTTGTGGCTGCGCGTAGATCACGGGGGCTGTAGCCGAATCTACGCGTGCCTGTACAGGTCCCACAGCAGTGATGCAGGTTCAGCTCTGTTTGAGCATGTGCAAGAGGGGACTAACCGCGTGCTTGAGCAGTACCTATCTGCGGAGGTGGTGGTTCTTGAAGACTTTAACGCTCACCACCAAGAGTGGTTGGGGTCCAGAACCACTGACCTCCCGGGTCGGACTGCCTACGATTTCGCCTTGGCCTACGGCTTCTCCCAGCTGGTGACACAGCCCACCCGTGTCCCAGATATCGAGGGGCACGAGCCTTCTTTGTTGGACCTTCTGCTGACCACAGATCCGGCCGGATACAGTGTGGTGGTCGANTCCGGCCTCGCATGGAGTACTGCTCCCATCTCTGGGCCGGGGCTCCCAAATACCAGCTTCTTCCATTTGACTCCATACAGAGGAGGGCCGTTCGGATTGTCGATAATCCCATTCTCTCGGATCGTTTGGAGCCTCTGGGTCTGCGGAGGGACTTCGGTTCCCTCTGTATTTTATACCGTATGTTCCATGGGGAGTGCTCTTAGGAATTGTTCGAGATGATACCAGCATCTCGTTTTTACCATCGCACCGCCCGCCACCGGAGTAGAGTTCATCCATACTACCTGGAGTCGCTGCGGTCATCCACAGTGCGTTTCCAGAGATCTTTTTTGCCACGTACCATCCGGCTATGGAATGAGCTCCCTTTCACGGTGTTTCCCGAGCGCTATGACATGTCCTTCTTCAAACGAGGCTTGTGGAGAGTATTAAGCGGTAGGCAGCGGCTTGGCTCTGCCCCTGGCATTGCTGAAGTCCATGGGCGACGGTAACCACTCACCATCAGGTGGGCCGTATGCCCGTCTGCATACAAAGGCAATAAAAAAAATAAAAAAAATTAGTCCAAGTTAGTTCAAGTCCTGGAACTAGCTCAGGGGGGGTCATGACCCCCATGACTCCCCCCTGGATCCGCCGTTGCTTGAAACTAAAGATTTTATGACTTTCGTATTTGAGATAAGATATTATTTTTATTGATGGACTATTATTATTTTATATATCGTCTCTGTCAAACCGATATCTTCTACATGCAAAAAATGTGACTACTTTTGTTTTTCTTTTTAAATGAAAATGTGGATAACTAACTAAATCATAAAAGTCAAAATGTGGAAATCTAAAAAGTTTACATGGAAAATTTAATATGTATATACCTAGTATACCTACTTACCTAGTATACGATATACTATACTAGTATGTGAAATACTTATTTCATGGTGTAAAAAAATAAATAACCAGTGGTTAATGCGTATTAAAATTAATATTGTGCGAGTTTAATGGATATTACGATAAATACCATAATGTGATACCGGCCTACCTCAAGGCTGCATGTCGCAGTCGCGGTTAATAGAATAACGGCTCTGTGCCCTTCAAACAAGATCGTAATTTTTTAATGACTTCTCGATAGAGATAGACACGGTGTGCCCATTCCGTTTGGACTCATTATCAAACTAAGCTAACTTAATTAAGAATTAATACTACAGGATTTAGGTGAGGATAATAAAGGAACAATATAGGAAATCTTTTATCGTATATATTTGAAGTAATCTATGTTGTGAACAAATTTAAATATTCATATTTTAACGGTCTATTTTTAAAATCGTAATCTGTATTAACTCATTTGGTGAAACAACTAACTTTATATTACAACTAGCGGACCCGACAGACGTTGTCCTGTGAATGCATACACAAAATTTCATTCAAGTCGATCCAGCCGTTTAATTGCAGTATAGATAAATAACCTAGATACAGACTGCAACGCCAACTGCCGGGCTGATTTATGAATCTAAACTATCCAGGGCGACACTAAAACGCATACAAAAAATATCATTCAAATCGGTCCAGCCGTTTAGGGGGAGTTCAGTGACATACGCACATACAATAGAATTTTAAATATATTACTATGTACCCAACAGACGTATCACAAAAACATATGAATAGCATAGAATTGTTTTTCATGGAGATTTACAGAAAATTCACAGTGTGGTTTTTGGTATCGCAAATTATAATATCTAAATGCTTTGTGACGTGTATTCCGGATATCCACCCGAATTTGCCGGGTTGAGTGCCGAAGCCTCCGAATACTCTGACCAGCTGTCCTGTCGGCTTGAACACCTGGACTCTGCAATTCCCAGAGTCTCCAACTAATATGTAGCCCATAGGATCTACAGCCAAAACCTCTGGTTGTCTGAACTGGCCTTTTCTCTGACCCGTAGAGCCGAATTCGAGAATTTTTCCTTTGTCATTTTTATTGTACACTTTGACGCGTCGGTTTCCGCTGTCCAGTATGATTATTCGATCGGCGGTCAGGGCGACCGCAGTGGGTGTGTTTAGTTCCGTGCAGATTACTTCTTTGGTTTCCCACAATGTGGTATTACCCGTTGGTTTCAGTTTATTATAAACTCCTATTTGGTCAACGAATTTTCCATCAGGTTGTATAATCTGTAGAAGTATAATACCGCTTTTAGGCTATATTATAATCTATAATATAAATTATATTACATATACTACATTAACTATTTTATAAACTTTAAAAGTTAGTTAACAAATATCCTAATTTAAAGTTTGTGTTATGAATATAAGGTTTATAAGACAAAGCTTGTCCAACTATTATCAGAAGATCCGCCTGATCACATTGAGTTGCAACTACAACGTTCTCGACGAGTAATTTTTATAACTCTCACTATTAAAATCAATTTTCTGGTTTGCCAAACCAAGGTTTACCATTTTCTCAGGTCGTAAAACTATAAGCCAATTTAGCCACTTAATATACGATATTACCTATCTAATATAATATACGAAATATATTGTAGGTATATAATAATGATAGATGATTGTCTCCAGTTAGAGGATTTAACACAGGGGGAAGAGGTGAATTTGTATCAGAAATGCAATTAATATATTTTTTTTAATCATATTATCAATTTTACTGTTGGATAGGTGATAGGTTTTTACATACGTATACAATATTTGTCAATATATTATATTTAGGTATATTTGTGAATATTTCACAGGGGCTTACAGCACTCAAACTAAAATTATAAAAAATTACGAAAAATCCTGAAACTGAAATTTTCAAGATGAGTTTTTAAACTTTAAACAAGTTCTGAACATTTGGACCGATCAGTCTACCGATCAATTTCACCTACTCGGATGATATTACCTTTGTTATTATCCCCAAAATTGCAATATTAGATCCCAAAATTACAATATTAGATTTTCAGAAAAATTACACCCTGTACGTACAAGAACATGTTGATTATTATTAGAACGATGATCTTACCTGTACCCTATCGTTTCCAGTATCAGCAACATAAATAAGATTATTAGCGTTGTCTGTGGCAATACCCTCGGGAGAGCGAAACATGCCGACTCTGCTGCCTTTATGACCGATGGACCTTAAGTACAGACCGTCTTTGGAGAAAACATGGATGCAGTGTTTCCATTTGTCTAGAAATGAAAAAAATCGCCAAAATGAATTTCACATAATCCTGACGTGGCTTCGGCTCACTGAAAGTAATCTCCGACTTACCGGTGACATAAATTTCGCCCTGACTTTTCATAAACGCGATCTGGACAGGACATAACATCTCATCGCACGTCAGACGCGTCACGATCTTCGCCTGCGCGCGTTCTACCACCATCACACTATGACTGTCCATTCCGCAGACGTAAAGATGACTGTCCCACGGACTGAGACCGACACCGCTCGGTCGCGAGGTTTTGCGCCACACATAGTGTGGTATGAAATTACGGGATCTAAAAATATTTATGTGGTATATAGATAGGTAGGTTTTATTCTCGTGGTGCTTAACTATGTTCATTTAAACATAATTATATAAAATAAAACAACTTTTGCGATCTACGATTGCGGTAGGCCTTGTTGGGAACTAGCAATATAGGACTGCGGCTAATGCAATAGATTTGAGATTTCGTTCTCATAACTCAAAATAAGCGATACCTCTCCTTACTTAATGATATCTGTGGACTCGCGTGAATGCTCAGCACATTTTTTCACAAAATTTTCGCTGGTATCTTATGTTCACGGGTTCAATTTGAGAGACTTTGCTAAGGTCAGCCCTAGCAAGAGCAGTACTTCGCAGAGTCTACCACTCGATCGAAATAAACTCGACATCGAGTCAACTGTGGATCACCTGTTTATGTCAAGTTTATAGGCAGACCAGCACACAGAACAGAAAGCACGTGTAAAATTAGCGCCTAATTGGTACAAACATATCCAATTTAGTAATGAATAATAAGTATTTCACTTTTCATCTGCTTATTAATTGAGAAAAATTGTTTGAAACGTGCGCGCGTACCGAGTAACACGCGAGTTTTATACAGAAGCAAATAGTTGTTAATATTCTTGATCGTTTTACGTGTTTCACTATAGGTATTAGTATAATAGTCTACAATTAAACTAAACGTAAGGTGGCTGAAGGTTTTTGGAACTCAAGTAAGTAATTAAAATTTTCTTTTTATAAAATGTAATGTCGAACTATTGATTGGTACGTTTATATTTGATAGCACGCAACAAGATGAATCAGTAAGGTAACTAAATTATAAGAATAAATCTTGTTATTAACAACGTCAATAGTAATGCTAGCAATGTTCAATTTAGTTCTTTTTTAATGAACATTTTTTGGCACAGTCGTATGACAGTTTCTCTGACAAAAATCTATACTAATACTAGCTGACCCGGCAAACGTTGTGTTGCCTTAAATAAGATTTCTAGGGAAATTCTACTGTAGAAAAAAAACCTCATTTAACCACCTAATAAACAAAAAAAAATCCAACAAATGAAAATAAAAAATTAAAAATGTTTGGGGTGGACAACCCTTTTCACTTAGGGGTATGAAAAATAGATAGTAGCCGATTCTCAGACCTACTGAACATACTATTGATACACAAATAAAACCAAAAAAACATGGCTGTAAAATGTATAGTATTGTATAGCTCTCAAATATATTAAGTGTATAATCTATGATGTATAGTGAGTAAGTAAGACAGGAGACCGGCTTCGTCCTCATCCCTACTACGTGATGTTTGCTGGATGAGTGGTGACACCTGGCGGGGATAGCTGATCGATTGATAGTTGATCAGTAGTCGACCGGCGATTGTGGGAGATCAAATTCAATTTAAAAAAAAACATAATTAAAGGAACTTGAAATTATAAACTCTGAATAAGAATTTATCGTACTACAATTATAATATTTGATTGCCATCTTGCAACCTTATTGCGGATCTGTGCATAGAATAAAAAAGATAAAAATCGGGATGGAAAAATAGGGGTCGATCATATAAGAATGAAAATTGAGAGTAATATGATTTTTTTTATTTTAAGTCATGACAAAACAAAATTAAAACTTGCCAAAAAAATTAAAGTTTATAATTAACAAATAAAAAATAGGGGTTGAGGGATGAAAAATTGAGAGTAACATCAGATTTTTTATTGTAATTCATGACAAAATAAAAATAAAAATGAAAATCTTGCCAAAAAAATTAAAGTTTATAATTAACAAATAAAAAATAGGGGTTGATCGTGGAGGGGTGAAAATTTCAGAGTAATATGAATTTTTTTATTCCACGTCATGACAAAATAAAAACAAAATTCTCGCAAAAAATTTTAAAGTTTTTAATTAGCAAATAAAAAATAAGGGTTGATCGTAGAAGGGTGAAAATTGAGGATTGTATGTATTTTTGTATGTTGTATCATAAAAAAGTAGAAATTAAAAATTTTGTCTAAAAAATAAAAAATAAAAATTAGGGGTGGACTACCCCTAATATTTAGGGGGATGAAAAATAGATGTTGGCCGATTCTCATAGATACCGGATAAGCACAAAAAATTTCATCAAAATCGGTCAAGCCGTTTCGGAGGAGTATGGCAACGAAAACTGTGACACGAGAATTTTATATATTAGAGAGAATATAAATCTACAGTGGTTTTTACGGATGTTCCTTTATAACTACTGAACCATGCATCCGTCTATGCTAATATATAAATCTACAGTGGTTTTTGCGGATGTTCCGTAATAACTACTGAACCATGCATCCGATTGACTTGAAACTTGGTATCCATGTAGAAAATACATGTACTTAATGGATAGGCTAATATTTATATGAGTGTTGGACTCTCTACACCAGTTGCGGGGGCGTTAATGATGAGAATTTTTGTTGGGGTGAGAAATAATAATGTTAATTTTAAAAGCCCAGTGAAGCGGACGGGTGCAGCTAGTATACATATAAATTTCCACGAGAATGTATTTGTATGATGGTTTGAAAACCATGCTGTACTTGGTACTGTTACGTAGGTATTCATTTCGATCGATACCAAAATCAATCGTTATCTAAACTGTACCTTACCTGTAATAAGTGACTAGACTTTCCTCGCTCTCCAACGGATCATTATGTTTAGATCCTTCAGACACTGGGTCTTCCGATTCAGCATCGACTGGTGTAGTCGAATCAACTTCCAACGTGAAGTTCTCTTTATCGAAAACGAATCCTTCCGTGTCCCATTTTATTACGTCCGTTAGTAATTGTATTGCATTTTGATGAAGATTCATGAATGTTGTTACCTTCAAGTATTTATTATTATTATTACTATTATTGGTTAATCGTTTTTGAGTCAAGTCTGAAGCTTTACACGCATTTAAAAACAATAATTTCAGAGTTCAGTGTTCAAGTAAGTTGTAAAATTTAAAAAGTCACTTTCCATTATCCACCAATCACAGCAATGGCATCTTATCATGAAAAGGCTTTTACTAGTTTTTCGCTGTCGTTAAAGATGTCTCAATAATTAAAAGATACAGTAACTTTTGTTAAAAATGTTCAACGTGTCACTTGAGATGGACACAACCCTCCGAGTTTCATGTGAGATCTCGCAGTGTAATTTGTATCGCGATTCCAATCCGGTGGTCGATTCAGCAAAGCACTGGTCTTACTAGAGCTAGTGTTAGCAAGTTCTCCCAGGATGAGCCCTGCGAGCTCACCTATCAAACCCTTCGAGGTTATGAAGATAAGGTAAAGAAAAAAAAATAGGTAGGTACTACTCATAATTCCACAATTACACAGATTGTAAATATATTCGCTGTTCCCTTTGTATTTTATCTTTTTGTTTATGATTGAATACGTATTTTACCAATCAGTACTTCGAAGTTTTGTCGAGATTTAATTACTATGATAAAACTGTCAACTTAGGCTTAGTTTGATAAGAAATATTTTAAGTAAACATTATATTATGACGAATAATATTCGTGGAAGCACAGAATTACGCTTATTGATAAATACATATCGTTCACCGTGTTAGAAGTCTAACACGACAAACTACTTAAGATACCAACTTGTTGCTCGCCATCTATGTTAACGCCATCCGATACTGTCATAGCCTTCGAAGCGACTGTTTTGGCTTCCTCCAACGAAGTCTTTAGCGCCAAAGCAGACATATCGCCAGATTTCTGCAAGCTCACCGCTTCAATCAGCATATTGTTTTTGGAATCGATTATAGCGTTGATCTTATCTTCAGCCGTTTTGTTTATCTGTTCAGTAATACGTTCGCAACGATCCTGTGAAAATCGGATTTATTTTATCGATATAATTGTTTTTTTTATTTTGTATTTCAATATTAAAGGTATTTATTATTTATGTTACTATTCAGAATTTTCGAATTTTGTGCTAAAATTTACTTTTTTTATTGCGTGGATGGGTGGACGATTTCACAGCCCATCTGGTGTTAAGTGGTTACTGGAGCCCATGGACACCTACAACGTAAATGCGCCACCCACCTTGAGATATAAGTTCTAAGATCTCAGTATAGTTACAACGGCTGCCCCACCCTTCAAACCGAAACGCATTACTGCTTCACGGCAGAAATAGGCAGGGCGGTGGTATCCACCCGCGCGGACTCACAAGAGGTCCTACCACCAGTACAATGAAATGTTTCGTTCAAATAATAAATCACTAACCTTAAAATGTTCTATTTTGTGATTGAGTCGATTGGTAGCAGAATCGAGCTGTTTCAATATTGATCCTATTTGAGTTCTCATATCGTCTAAATGTTGGGACCAGCAGACACCGCAGAATTTCTAAATAAATTATAAAATATCAATATATATCATTGTCACTAATAAATAGTTTATTAGTTTTCAAAGCAAATAATAATTTACCAATCTACAATGTTCACATGAAGTAATATTTGTATTGTCACAATGGCTTTTGCAATTCGAACATCGGAGCCCAACCGCGAAGAGATCCACGCTTTGAGTGCCAGGTGTAGTTGGAGTGGCTGGTGGCGTTTCTGGATTCTTCTGGGGCTTATTATGAATACCCACTATATTCAATAACGAATCTATGTATAGATTCGAAGGCAAATCTCTTATGAAATTCGGTCCTTGTACTTGTATTTTTGTTTTGCATATTGGACATTCAAATATAGGTTTATCTAAAAGAGAAGATGATTAAATTTTTATTTATTACCAAAACTAATTTAATAATGACGTTGTTGAAAGCATGTAAGGAATCAAACATTAATGGAAAAAGGGAGGAAAGGAAGAGGAAAAATGTGGTAGTACCTATACTACCAGGCTACTCATTACTATTGCACAGCAATCTTTTCGATTATAAGGGGAGGAAAAATGCTATACTATTTTAACACAAGGGATATTTCGCCCTTATATCTCAAATTGAAATGCGGCATTTTCGTCGAAGTTATATGTTGGTTGCCGGTGGATCGTGAGGTCATCTACCCGTTTAATAAATAGACTCAATTGAATAAATGTTGTCTTCATAATTTAAATTGTAGTTTCTTTGTTACTCTTAGTCTTTACATCGAGCAATCTCATCAATAAAACATATTTGAAAAAAGCATTTATCTAAGATACTGTTTTTTTTTATTTGCGATTCTGGACATGAAAATACCAGTTTCGAACGTTGTCGAATATTTTAGTTGTTGACTCAAGTCATAATTTTAAAACACGAAAATGAACGGTAGGAGTATGTATGTAATAAGTCATGAACACGACAACATAAACCGTAATTTAAATAAGAAAAAGTACCCAAGAAGATGATCATGTTCACTTTCGAATTGCAATTAAAAAAGTTTCTACTCAAATATGGATGTAACAAGAAAACAATGGAACACCTACTGCTTTCGAGTGGCAAGGAAAAGTTTTGACACAAAAATATACGAACCGCCAATATAAGAATTGAGACAGGTCATGCAGAATGTGTGCTGACATGGTAGCATCTTCGGATTGTGAAGTACGTCAAGACATAGCGGACACTGAACCAATTCCTTGATACCGCCCGCAGATAACCTTAATAAAAATAACACGTTAATGAAATCATAGCTCATTTGGCGGGTATTTAGATATATCTAATACTAACGGCCCGCTCCGGCTCCACTCGGAACTTAAAAAAAAATTTCAACGATATTTGACATTGTTCTATTTTTTAAAATACAATAACACTTACAAAAAGTGTCGCAATAAGTGTTAATAATAATGTGTTCTACAAAGTCGTAGTACATTCTATCATCAATAGTTTTCACAGGGCACGCGATGTAAAGAATATTTTAGGTAATTTTTTTACACCTTGGCTTACATTATTCGATTTTTAGTAAGGATCCCTAATTTTTTCAAAAAAGATTATAGCCTATGTCACTCGGGAATAATATAGCTTCCAAACAGTGAAATAATTTTTCAAATCGGTTCAGTAGTTTCGGACTCTATTCAATACAAACAAACAAACAAAATCTTTCCTCTTTATAATATTAGTATAGATACAAATCGAAGACAAATCATCATCAAACGGCACTACAGCTAATCCATTATAGTATCATTTTTTAAGTTGGGACTTCGAAATCGTGTTTTTTAATTAATTGAATCGAATTATTGATACTAACGCAATTATGTGCCAAACTACACCAAAGCAGAAACATGTACATTTGCTAAGTTTAGTACATATCATTGTAAGTTAATATTTCACGAACCGCTATCTAATGGCAAGGTAGTCAGCGAACGCGAATCATTGTTCAGCTGGTAATTTGATTTATAAAAAGCGTGCGAGGCAAAAACTTTTTAGTATTTTTTTTTGCAAAACTATGAAGTTTTATTGTGTGCCTAAATTTTCTTTAAAAGTTTCCTTGCGTTATAAATGAACTAGTAATTGTATATACTCCGATGAGTGCCATTAAAATTTACCTTATATTTTATAGTTATTCTAGTTATTTCCTACATCCACAAAGTCGTAATACGTAAATCGATTGCATATGCTTGTTATACGCATCCTTCCAAGAATCACGTACCGATTTGGTCATGGAGAAAACGAACGAACGACGAATTAATTTATAATTTCTAAAGGTCGTCTTTCAGAAACGTAATTGTGAATTAAAAGGCTTCTTTTTATAGATCGTTTAAGGATAGGACTATCGCCAATATTATATCATTAGGTGTTAGCCTTAATAGTATAAAAATAATAGACATCGCGCCCTTCAAACGAGAATACATGCTGTATTCGATCTCATAAAATACACACAAAGAGTAAGTAGTTAGTAACTATAATATATAATATGTGCAAATTTTGCAAGGTTCATTTTACAGGATTTAATTCCTCAATCGCGGCAGTAGTTTATTATCAAATACCAAGTTTTTTTTTTTAATTGTACCGATTCTAGTTTCGAATCTTGGTAGAATCAGAAAGCTACCAAGGCGAGTATTCTATTATACCACAACACTATATCAAGTAATCGATTTGTTTCGTAATGTTTTGTATCGGCAAACTTCAAATCGTAACGATCTACAGTAGTAAACTTTAATTAACTAAATCGGTTGTTTAGCGAATGACGTAGTCTCATCATACTTTATATTTAGTACTCACTTTCTAGGCTTAGAATCTGAAACGGAATTCATCGTCCGAGTCGCTAGTGAGTTGTGTGACCTGCACAACTCTGTGTTATCCTGAGACTGTCCCCGCGGCGACGGTGTTATTGGACTGATCGTTCCCAAAACGTTGTCGCTTTGCTTTTGACTATTCCAACGCTTAAGCGTAAAAAAAGGTTTCTTTTTCACTTTATCTGCCATTCTTAACACCTCAACATTTCACGAAAAACTAAGTGTAAATTATCAATTGCTCAATAATAGATAAATCGCGTTTATCCGATAACGTTTTCATATTGATAAAAAAATTAATTATGAATCGCTAAAATTACGAAGCGTTGGCCAAACAGCTTGGCGTCATCGTCTTGGTAAAATATCATTTCTGTATGCGCAATAAGCGTAACATAAATTTTACTGATCCCCTCCGAGGACATTTATTTAAGTCTTACACGTTTTTGAGAAAGTTATCAAAATTTTGTAGGCTTCGAGGCTGCTATAATTTAGGGGTCGATGCAGTGTAACGGTAAAAACGAGTGAAGCTTAAAAAAAAAACGCTTTCGCCTGTGTCCAAGGCTCTTCTGTCGAATTCGGCACATTAAAAGCAAACCTGATCTCCTTATCGGCGTAAGAAATTGTTTACTATTTTATTGTACTGTTAATGTTTCGCGTTACTATTTCTCAGTATCGACAACCGGTTGAACTGCTGCTTACGGCTAATGGACCGCATACCTTATATAAACGAGTCAGTTAATACGTTTAAATCAAGCGCTAAGATTACGACTACGCATATGGTATGACCAGATTAAATGGTCTTAATCGATACATACATACAACTAATTTAAATCAATGAAAAGCTGGTGCGGTTTGTGTCTTAAATACTTTACAGATTTGCGTAATCGAGAAACGAGAAAAACGGATACTTCTGATAAAAAGATGAGGCAAACAAACGAGAATGATAATAAGAAACTATTTCGTGAATCCGAAAATCTAAAGTAAATAAAGTGTTTTTTGACAAATCTTTACAGCTTGAAAAGAATTTTTGCCTCTTTCTATCTATCTATCTATCTATCTATCCATCTCTTTAAATAAAAATGAATTGCTGTTCGTTAGTCTCATTAAAACTCGAGAACGGCTGGACCGATTTGGCTAATTTTGGTCTTGAATTATTTATAGAAGTCCAGAGAAGGTTTAAAAGGTAGATAAATATAAAAATGCTCGGAATTATAAAAAAATAACAATTTTATTTTTCATTTGATGTGTCCCCCGTCAGACGGATTCCTTTTATTTGTTTTGAGTTTATTTTATACAAAAGTTTAGGTCTTTTATTTGTCGGTTGAGGCACTACGAAGTCTGCCGGGTCAGCTAGTACAATATAAAAGTGAAAAAAATGTAAAATAAATGAAAATAAACATACATACATACTAAATTATTGGTCATTAGAGCATAAGTATTTTTAAACATATTAAATTACGTGTTTATTGTGTAAAATTTTCTAAGAAATCATTGCTGTCGGCGAATTAAAATTTAAAATAAAATCAATGTTGAGTTTTATGGTCTCTAATGAATACAACAATTACATTAATATAAATGCTATTTAAATTAAACTTTCTGAAGAAAGAACTAGTAGTTTCTCATTTTTAAACTTCATAATTATAAATTTGTTTCAGACTCGTGCTATTTTATATAGTTTGTTTGGAATTCAATAAGAAAAGTATTCTTTTAAACATACGTATTCGAAGTGCTGACCGTGTTACGCAAAAGTCTATCCGGCAGAGCAGGGTGAGCGACTTCGCGCTGCCAATTAAATTGTACGTCAAGTTCATTGCATTTCTCGTTCTCACAACTATGATGCACTTTCTAGAAATATTTTCGCAATAGTTTAAGGAAACTTTTAGAAGAAGTACTAAATTAGATCTAAGTAATAAAAAAATATTTATATTTAAACGGTATATATCTATTTATTGTATGCAGGTATGTATTTTCTTTAATCTTATCTTTTCAGAATTTGGGTAAATCAATCGGTTCCCTGGAAGAGATCGTTTTTAGCGATAAGATTGACTGTTTTTTTAATGTTGTTTTGGTGCGCAATAAAGTATACTCTCTCTCTCTCTCTCTGTCGCTCTCTCTCTCCCTCTCTCTCTGTCTCTGTCTCTCTCTCTCTCTCTCTCTAAATCAAATTACACATTTTTACTAAGTAATAAAAAATACTCAAAGCGGTCTTTTGGTTAGCAGCGGCTTGGCTCTGCCCCTGGCACTGCTGAAGTCCATGGGCGACGGTAACCACTCACCATAAGGTGGGCCGTATGCTCGTCTGCCTACAAGGGCGATAAAAGAAAATGTGAATAGTTGATCGCTATAACATGATAAAAAGTGGATGAAACGAAAGGTTTTGTTGAGAGATAGTTAGCAATTCATTAAATGTTGTGTGAATATTTTTTCGGATTCAATTTTCGTTTAAAAGACATTGAATTTGCGTTATTTGATCGACGGGATTTTAGTAAATAATTTAATGAGCTTCTTCTAAATACTTTGTATTTACTGGGTCTATAATCGAAGTCAATGTGGCCTTTTATAAAACTGGCTCTAGAGTGTCTCGAGCTAGTTATTACTTACCTACATATAAGGATTTGTATTTAGAAAGTGTATAATATGGTTTATCAGCGGGATGTAGGCAACATCGAGATTAAAGGACGAATCATAACAAATATGTAAATGCTAAATAGTTTTAAACAAACTGACGCGGACATGGCGTTCAAAAGCCGTTAGTTTTTAAATAAAAAATAGTTGTTTATTTGTTAGGTACCTGAATATTAATGAGATAGTATCTAGGATGTACATGTAGATGAGTGTGGGTCAACAATGAATAATTTTAATTGGCTTGTCACACAATATTACTATTACCTCATTTCACACATGAATTTATGTACCTATATTACCTCCGGAATACGTTTGTGTTTGGAATAATTTTTTTTTATCGAATCTCTATGTTTTTTTTTTTTATTGCTTAGGTGGGTGGACGAGCTCACAGCCCACTTGGTGTTAAGTGATTACTAGAGCCCATAGACATCTATGTCGTAAATTCGCTTAACCCACCTTGAGATATAAGTTCTAAGGTTTCAAGTATAGTTACAACGGCTGCCCCACGCTTCAAACCGAATTGCATTACTGCTTCACGGTCGAAATAGGCAGGGTGGTGGTACCTACCCGCGCGGACTCACAAGAGGTCCTACCACCACCAGTACTAACAGGTATTGAGTGTCTAAAAGCATTTTAAATTAAATACCCGCTGTGTGATAAATAACGTTTTAGCTATATTATTATCCATCTTATTAATAATGTAAATGAATGGTTGCAGATACTTTGTTGTGGTTTCATGGTTTCCACCAACGAGCTCTTGCATGAAATCGCGAAGCCACGAACACAACACGACAATGCTAAAAAAATTCGGAAACTATTTAAGAATAAGCAAAGCTATATAAAAATTACGAAAAAAAAAGTTTGATCTCAGCCGATAGCAATTAACCAAAATTCCTTTAAACGATCTAGAATTTTTTTATGTGTTCATTCGTGCGGACTAAAGAGCTTTCATTAGATTATCATTGTCCTGAGTGACTTCAGTAACAGTTTTTATTTTATTGAATAAGAAATTCATTTATTTATTTTGGTAATAATTCTTTAATTGACAAATATTGCTAAATACTTACTACAGTATTTTATTCAATTTGGCTTTTTAGGGCGCTTGACATTAACATAGATTCCTTACATTGGGCAGATAGTACAAAATAAAGCTCACGTCATTACTGATCCTCCTGAGCCATTAACGGTGATTTTAGATACCACAAGCACCGGTCACCGTTCTCGTCGAACCTGTCGCTTGCGACGATGGGCTCGACGAGCGAATTAACCCACAGACACAGCCCACTGAGTTTCTCGTCGGATCTTCTCAGTGGGTCGCATTTCCGATCCGGTGGTAGATTCCGCGAGGCACTGCTGCTCTTGCTAGGGCCAGTGTTAGCACAACACCGGTTTGAGCCCCGTGATCTCACCTACACGTTAGGGCGTAGCTGATATAGCCTCTCAAGGCTACCAGCATAGGTAGGATAAAATAAAAGTAAAAATAAACGCTTATTTCGATGAAGGTACCTAGGCAGAGGGATGGCAACTATAGTTCCTAATAATTTAAATACCAAATATTTATGTTTATGAATGCCTTTCAATACGAAACAGTTTAAGCTACGATTTTGCTAGTCGTAGAGCAAGCGTGACTCTGTACTAAAAGGTAATTTTATATTAAGTTCCTCCTAAGGAGCGGTCACGTATGCAGTTCGGAACAAGAGATATGACTTCATTTTGGGAAATATTAGTTGCTCATAACCAACATATTTCTATCTATATACATAAAAATGAATTGCTGTTCGTGGGTCTCGCTAAACTCGAGAACGGCTGGGCCTATTTGGTCAATTTTGGTCTTGAATTATTTGTGGAAGTCTAGAGAAGGTTTAAAAGGTAGATAAATATGAAAATGCTCGGAATTAAATAAAAATAACAATTTTGTTTCTCCTTTGATGTGTCCTCCGTCGGACGGATTCCTTTTGTTTGTTTTAAGTTTATTTTATACAAAAGTTTAGGTCTTTTATTTGTCGATTGAGGCACTACGAAGTCTGCCGGGTCAGCTGGTATAAAATATTTTAAGGAAAAGCAAACAGTACAATAAGCGAGTACTATGTATTCAGTTTATCCCGGTGATACATAAACAACGCTTGTACGCATCAAATTGGCGGTTAAGCAAATCTACAAGTTTCATCTCCATTATGTTTGCGAATAAAACGTGAGACGACTGAACATTACGCGAAAAACAAAACGTATTACGAAAATAAAGCTTATTTGTTCAAATTCACGAAATAACACAAAATTAAATGGTAATACATTTATCATAAATGCTGTTTAGTTTTGCTGTCTTTTTTTTATTATTATTCAAAGAAGTTTTCAGTTAAGATTCTAAATAACTCTCGTCTTAACCTCTATTATCACTCAAGCTATAAACTCTGTAAGCACCCAATCTTATTGTGTACACAACCAAGGAATCTCGGACCCACTCCAAAGTATTTTCAAAGAAACCCACTGAGATAACGTTGTATTAAGCTGTAAATTCTTTACCAATCAGGAGGAATTGTATCTCCGATATGTAACATTGAATACAAATAGCAATTTTAATACTATTCTTTCTTTTTTAATCTAATACGAGATTTTTTCGGTGTTAATTATAAAACAGCAGTGATAAATCTACTAGAATTAAATATACCTAGTAGTTTTTTTAATATACAAAATTCCAATGCTGTTGTACATTCGATTTTACAATGTAGCCTGTAGAATCTTCGTATTTGGTTATCAGAATAAACAGATCGAGACCGGGACTACCCTGTCAGTGAGAAGCCAATTTATTTTTTTAGCTAGTAAGTATATTTCTATAGTTGCAAGTTCCAGATAAAATTCCAATGCTGTTGTTCATTCGATTTTACAATGTAGCCTGGAGAATCTTCGTATATTGGTTATCCGAATAAACAGATTGACACAAGGGTTACCATGTCAGCCAGAAGGCAATTTAATTTTTGAAGTTATACTTCTTTAGGCGCGTTATGAAAAATTGATGAGAGTGAAATTTTACGATGCGCGCGCACCGTGACACAAAATTAACAGAAATGAAGTTGCCCACTAAATCGCTCATTACAATACGACCGACGTAACTTGGCGAGTCTGAATATAGCCGCAGGTGAACTTTCCGAACCGTGCCGATAATTACCGAATTTATACGATGTCAAGAAAAGGGATGTCCAATATGCGTGTTCGAGGATGTTGTTTAATCGATTTTTTTTCAAATTGATTAAAATTTAAATAAAAAAAAAGAAATAAATTTAATAAAAATAAAGTATAACTTCTTACGCGCGTACATAATAACTACACGCACCCTTTTTTTTTAGCCAGTAAGTATATTTCTATAGGTGCAAGTTCCATGAATCGCAGCCTGTTTCTATTCGACGAATATTGCTTATCGATTCGCAGCCTTGTCAAATGCCTCTCACAATTGAATATAATAACTGTTATCGTCGTTTTGGTACAAAATGTTCAATTCAGTGACCACAAAATTTTCACTCTGAACATTTTTGTATATACAATAAATCTTTGTGTATATTCATTAATGAGTTTCGTGAAACAATACACAGTAAGTCAGTGACGATGTCTCTCTTGTCATTGTACGACGGAAGGAAAGGATGTCTGAGCAAAACTATGTCATATACAATTAGAAGCTTTGGTTACCGCGCATGCAAATCTGGCGTCGTGCGTTTTCACCCTGGGACGCGCGTGTGTGCCAAATTAATTACCATAACAATGTGCCTTCTAAATGTATTATTTATTCGATAGGGTGAATTAAAGACGTTTCACTATGCGACTCGAGTACGTAAATTACAATGTATTTTTTCTTGAACATCCAGGAAGCACTTCAAACTATAAAAAATAATTGTAGGTACTCAAAATAAATTTAAGCAATTTATAGTATTTTTTACTGTACCAGTATTTACTGTATGTATTAGTATTTCAAACTGTAAAAAATTTAAATGTGAACTATATAGAAATGAATGAATTTAAGCATTTATCATACCTAAAGCTATTTATCACTATATTTAAGATACACCATCAAATGATTTACTTCTCTAAATATCGATTTTCATTAAATCATTGCTCGATACAAAATAATCACAGTTCGATGAGAAATGCCAATATCTTTTAATTAAAAACCAAGTGTTTTTATGACATCCATAATTATTATTGAATTCATTACATGAGATAGAAATAATTAATAATAATCAACATAGCAACAATGTGATGAACTAGTGTTGTTAGAATGACAATAGATCGTGCACCAAATGCCTGCGTATTGTTAACGGCTTATGATATAAATGATATGATAAAACAATATAAATCTTATAATATCTTTGGTTGAGATTTCCGTGAACAATTTCAATTGAGATGCTTCCTACGACGCCTTAAAGTCTAATTTATTGGATTTACTATTTACAGATGTGTTCGATCCATACCACATAATATAAAGTTTACTATTATATGTAAATCCCTTACAGTGTTATAATTAAACAGTATCTTTTATTATTAATCTTTAATTGCAGTTATTGTTACGTCGATTGAGTAACTTGGTGGTCAAGATACCCAAATTTCTATATCGTGCGATAGTCAACTTAATAAAATGCATTCGTGTTTATTCAGAATATCATTTTTGTTTTACACATTAACAAATTTAATTCCTCAAAAGACAATCTAAATTTGAATGCAGTTTCAGTATAATAAAACGTATGCATCCTTATATTGCCACATGTAGGCTGTATTAATTTATATACGTCACCCATTAAAGACGGAAAACAGGAAAAGGAACACCGCTAACCCAGTGGCCAACTGCCGAGACGACTTCGAACGATTACACCCGACTCAACCTCCATTCCGTACCGGTATCGGCGCGCCACCACTCGCAAACAGATAGTTAACTGACTCTCATTACTGCGTACGGCCATTAACGACCGACCTCATGACGCGTGAGCGATGAGGTCCCGCCGCCCATCGCCCCGTTGTGCCGCGCTTCATTATTTTACAATGCGGAAAGCGCAGGACACGACGCGCATCCTAATCAGCGAAGAGAGTTTCGGCGACACGTGAATACAAAGTCATCGTATATTGTTCCGGTCGAAGAAATCATAGACGTCGAGTGAGCCGAGGACAAACGTGACGTCGCCTCGTACGTACGTAACTCTTCAGTGTCGATCCTCGAAAAGAAATTTTAACGCGGATGATACGAGGACGCGTTTAGTGGAATACAGTTTGTTATGCACCACGTTTATCGAAATTTCGCGAAATTTTGGCAACTGAACAAAAAAAAACAAGTGTCGTGCTGTCCACCCGCTATCAGCAGGTACCGATCTGTGCATCTTCAGACGATCGCTCGCAAAGGACATACGTGATAGTGTTCGGTATATTAATAAGGACACTGCTTTGTGTGTTCGAATGATAATTCCTAGAAGTTGTGATAAATATTGAGGTAAGCCAATTCATTTTAATTAAATTTTGTTATTTAAAGTAAATTAGTAATTACTCATTTGCCTAAAGCATAAGTAATATCAAACTTCCGGCGAAATGGAATTACTACCAAAATTATAAGTTTTTATTCAAGTTTTCTGACTTCTGACGCTGAAGCTATAATTCACGTAAAAAATAAAACATTGTCGATGCAAAGCATAACTTATTGTAAGCACTTGTGGTTCTGGTTGCTAGATAAATATTAGGTGTACAAAAAGGTCATATACCGAAGCGTGCTTAAAAATAAATATGTAAATAACTAAATAAAATCTTGAAAACAAAAAAAAAAATCAATAAATTATGTTTACTGAGACAATGCACAAGACAAGCGACCCATCATTATACGTTGAATAATATTAATTAGTTCTTGTAATTTATGCATGTGATATTTTTGAGCATCATAAAGTTTGAAAATATTTAAATTCTAAACAAACAATTTGTAATTCTTCAAAGCCCAATTTCGAACAGAATGAATAATTTTCAAATTGAACGATTTTAGTGGAATTCTCAAAACATTGGTTCGATGAGTCATCGGTTTTAAAACGTCGTACACTGTAGAGACATAATTTGCCGATAAAGATGCATTTTGTGTTTTTTTTTCGCCTCTGTGTCATTGCGACGCCTAAATAAAGATCACACTATAGTCAGTTTACAACTGTACTTACACACGATTGTTACATGAAATGTCTTTGAGGTAAATCGAAGTTCGTGCATGAAAATCCCATTGATTCTGTGTCAGACGTGGAACGAATTACAAAGTTTATTTACATGAAACCACAATAGTAATAAGGTCAACACAATACTATTAAGAATACTCTTGAGATTATAAAGCTACGTAAAACAATGCGAGTGTTTGAAGCGATATTGTGATTTGGAATAACAAGTTGCATGTCCAATTTGTTTTATCTTTCTGAAATGCGATTTCCATTGTTCCTGACGCTCGTACTTATGGTGGTAGTATTTGTTTTACTACACATACATTATTATTTTTGATTATAATACTATAGACGGTCAGACTAGCCCACCGCCCGTCCGTGTTACCAAAGTGATTATGGCCAGGACCCTGAAACTGCAATGCTTTAAGACAATTTTTTTCTGTATGGAAACTAGCGACATCTAGTTTCAGATGCCCCTAAACATTTAAGCTGTTAAAGTTAAGGCATTTAATTATTGTACAACTAAACACAGAAAAAACATCAACAAGTCTTCATTTGTTATAGACAAATTGATTGAATTTTATCAATTTGTGGTTTTTAAAAATTTACAAAATCCTTCATTAAAAGTAAAATTGTATAGGATAGGAGCAATGAGAAACTAATTGAAGCGAGGCCATCTAGTGGCCAACGCCCGTAAACATTTTTGTTGAGTGCTTATCTCTAATTAATTTATGTGTATTATTTAAGATTATGGGAGCCAATAGAAATGACAACCCGCCCGCCTAAGTCCAAGTTGTGTTGTAATAAATACTAACTATCCTTTCAAATCAGATAGAATAGTTCGTGGCCGATATAGATGTTGACCGAATAATAATTATATTAAGCATATTATTATATATCCGGTTGTAAGTTTAATGGTAAACCTAAAAGTTTCACGTAGGTACATGTTTTCAGTAATTTCAAAGTGATGCATCTGCTACCGGAAGATGATGATGTGATGTTAGAATGAACAAGACGCCTTCAGCTCTAACACTAGGAGCAGGCTTAGGGACTCTGGTAAGCGTATTTGTCGAACTCGGCAAAGAATTTGACGTGCAACCTAATCCATACATCAGGCTGCTGAGTTTCTCGCCGGATCTTCTCAGGGGGTCGCACTTCCGACCCGGTAGCAGATGCATTCGCGAAGCAGCTGTCCTTGAGCTGTTAGGACTCTTTCGGAGACGCTCGGGCAGCTGTTAGCGAATCCCACCCTTCCTGGCTGAGCGTTTGCTCGCTCATCTGTCCTGGTGAAACCGGAAAAGCCTCCAGGCCCCCAGTAATTAATCCTTCATAAAAAAAATAATTAACAAAAACAAACTGGGACATGACATATTTCAAACACTGGTGACGTTATCTGAACACTATAATATGAAATTTCATTCGTAAAAATCATTAATTTACAGATGTCATTCTATATTTAAAATAGTATTTGTATAATAAACTAGATGTAATTGCAGAATACATACGAATAATATAAGTTTTTTTTTTACAAAAATAACGATAAGTATTTATACTCATATAGTCTGTTATCCTTTATTTTCATTGAATAAGTTTAACAAATATAATAATTAAGACTATGTGCAAAACGAACCAAAAAAATAAACAATAATATAAGGAAATCTCGAAAATTACCCACTTTTTTGTTATTACAGACTTTTTGACACAGATTTTTTAATTACCTAAAATATTCCAATGGATTCTATTGCTTATTTTGAATCAATTAATAAGGTTTTTATATACAATATCCAACATGACGTTACAGAAAGAATAATACGCGAAACCAACCTATCGCGTTATAGGGTGTATTACTGGATGCGGTGTATGTTTCGACTGGCGGTAGGACCTCTTGTGAGTCCGCACGGGTAGGTACTACCACCCCGCCTATTTCTGCCGTGAAGCAGTAACGCGTTTCGGTTTGAAGGGTGGGGCAGCCGTTGTAACCATACTGAGACCTTAGAACTTATATCTCAAGGTGGGTGGTGCATATACGTTGTAGATGTCTATGGGCTCCAGTAACCATTTAACAGCACTTAACGGTGGGCTCTGAGCTCGTCCACTCATCTAATCAATAATAAAAAATGTGGGAAATCCCCGCGTTATATTGGGAATGCCCGTGTTATACGGGGGATTGAAATCGCGTAATATGAAAACGCGTTATAAGAGTGCCGAGTTATAGGGGAGATTACTTACTGTATTACTATTATTTTTTTCTAGTGCATTCTCTAAATCGATTATCTGTAAAGACTGTATATTCTGTTATAGAAATAATGCTATTTACGTTAAAGAATTACTCGCACGTACCGTAAACAATCTAACAGTAAATTAATATGTTGATGATATCAATGTCATTATAAATGAGTACTTAGATAATCACGCTAACTGTGCAAGCGTAAGCGACATGCTCGTAATGTAAGTATATTATTTGTATACTTACATTAAGTAAGGTTAAACGAATAATTAAATATGTATTTAAGGATGTAAACTCAAATTCGCTTTGAAATCAAAAGCAGCAGTTTAATGAAAATTTGATTTATGCTCATTTTACGTGGTAAATATATTTTAGATTACGATTGTCGCAATGTATGTATATGTATTAGGTATAAATACATTTTATTTAAGTTACATTGAATTTGTCAAGCCGAGAAAAAACCTAATCTCAAAGGAAACATACAATACATAACATCCAAAAACATTAATGAAGAAATAACATTATCTATCTAAGTAAGTCAAATGAATGCGACTAACTTCTTGGATTTACTATCACTCCGCCGAAGTCTTCGTGTTCACATTTTATTTTCTTACCTCCTTGAACATTGGCGGTGTAATCACGTGTTTCTCGAGACACACGAGAATAAAATGTACATTTTTCTATCCTAAATATGAAGGTCAGAATTGAACTATATGTAAGTATTTAAGACATCTCATCTTTCTTCTTACACTGAATACTTTCTATGATTTAAGACTTGGCTTGGCTTTGGATTGCTGTTGTCCATGAGCGACGTTAACCATTCACCATCAGGTGAGCCGTAAGTTCCTCTGTCGAAACAGGCAAGAAAAAAGACAACATTTTGTTTTCTTGCAAAGAAAAATCAGGATATATTACTGAAGCAGGAACTATAGTCGCAAAGTAGGTTAGGAATTTATGCGCAATGGCGGATCCAGGGGGGGGGTCATGGGGGTCATGACCACCCCCTGAGCTGGTTCCAGGACTTAGGTGGACCACTAATTGAATATAATGATTTTATTTATATATTTTGTCACCATACAGATTTTATGTAACTACATACCTTCAATATTTAATTCATTTAATTAATAACTTTGTATAATGGCAAACGTTTGGGAACGAACGCATCTAAATTTGACTATGTGACCCCCTCCTGGCGCCAAAGCTGGATCCGCCCTTGTTTATGCGTGATGACTCCTATTCCTTATTTTAATTTGGATTATGATGAAATCGTCATGAACTTTGTGAAAGTCGAACACGATACGAATTTTAAATTTAAATCGAATTTAATCGATACATAATCGATTTTGTTTCGGAGCTTATTTAGAATGACTTGTACCGTTGCGATGCGACACTAGGAAACATACAATTTAATACGATCCGTGCATGTTAAGGACTTGGGGACAAGTAAGGGTACGACTAGAAAATTTGTACTTACATTCCTTTATATATTACTTTTACGTAGTTCTGGTTCAATAATGATTATATTTCAAAACCTGTTGTTGGCGTCCCAAAAAATTACTCATACAACATTTAACCAAAATTGAACAATATTCAAAGGACTATCACTCGTTCCATAAAATATTTCGAATGAGTATTTTATGAAATCATGAATATAAAACGACAAATCATGGTACGGTAAATTTTACGACATCAATATCTTGCCAATCTACAATAACGATCGTTAAATCACAACGAATACCACAAGAGCCTATCAAAGTTATCACTGATTTATTGTCGATTGTCCTATCGAACCGGTTCCGATACGACCTGTACATCTGGTCTGGAATATTATGCGGGTTCAGGCAATCAAGTCACTTGACCCGTAATACATATGGAAAGTCGGTCATTTCAACAGGTTTGATCCTTTCCGTCTCTTGTCCGGACTACATTCTTTGGAAAACTTGACTTTTTATCGTGTTTACTTTTCTTGTGAATGATATATGTGAATGATTAAAGGCTAAATAAAATGAGAAATGCTGTCGCTTTAATCATTAGCATGAGTTTTGTTTTTAGCCTTCCACTATTGACTTAAATTGCTCCTCGTTTAAATATTTCCGACTGTTAATCTTTTCGAAATAAGAAGCACATGGCGCAATTATTTCGTAAAATATCGGTGGTACTTTGTCATAGATTGACTTGTCGCCGGTTATAATTATCTTGATCGTAAAATGAACAAAATCATCATATCCTTCTGAAGTACACAGATCTTTTGAACATAGTCTCACGCGTAAGGTAACATTGGAGGAGGTCGGTATTAGAGTTGACATAGGTCTTATTTGAATCATATTTTTCATGATATCTGTTAACTTGATTTTTACTAGAACCGGGTAAACGTTGTGGGTATTTGCTATTACAATTTTATCCTCGTAAAATCCATGCATCTGGTGGGATTGAGTCATATCTAACAATTTCGGATATATGTGTATAGGATGCTGCAAAACTTCACCAAAAATTTTGATAGTTTTGGTTACGAATATGACTTCTTCCTGTTGATCATAGAAATGTAAATCGTAATAGCATTGATGTTTTCCAATATGTTCTGCTTTAGTAAAATAAATAGGAATAGTTTGGTTAGATTTTGGATCGAGAGTCATGAAGGTTCTATCGAAAACAAAAATATCTAAAGCTTGATCAATGATTAGATTTAAGATATCGTCTACAATGTCTTGATTTGTGTCTTCAAGTGGGTCTTCTAAGCATTCGTTTTTAGAAAATTCTTGAAGGTCTTCAATATTATTCAAACTTTCTGTATTAGGAGGGAGACCTTCCAAAGATGTCGACAGTCCGTTAAAATCTGTGACAAAGTTCACTGTGCGTTTAGTAATACGAAGAATGTATTTATTGCAATCTTCAATTCTAACATGGAGAAATGATTTTGGATAACCAAACTTTATTTGCCACAGATAAACAGGTTGTATTTCAACGATTTCTGTTACAGAAATGCGAGATTTTAGTTTGAAAGCGCTTAGAATTCGGATATTAAGTGCTTCAATTTGTGGCTTAACATAATCATTATTATTCACCCGAAAATTCAAATTGGTGTCGAAATCTTGGTCTGTTTGTAACAGTTTAAACATGAATTTATATTTAACAGCTATTCCAGGATAGAGTCGCATTGGAATCTGAGGTTCTATTATGATTTTCTTAAACCAACATCGATTAGTAATAGAGTGAAACCTGATCATGGTGGTTTCTGAACCACAATTTATTAATGAAAACGATGCCGTATGTTCCTCCAAAGTTCTGCAGCGTATGCATATTTTTCTAGGTGAGCATTTTATTAAAGTTGTAAGTTTCAATTGAGGCCACTCAGGTTTGTCCGGCAATTTTTTTTCCCGATTAAATTTACTCTCGAAAGAAACAAATCTGTCTTTTGAAGTCAATGGTGATATTAAATTGTGCTGATTTGTATCTATATATATGGGTCTATGTACAGGAGAAGTCAATTCTGAAACAGGTTCGTCAGTGTTAACGTTTCTAAATTTAGGTTCTATTATATCAAGGGAAGCTACTGTTTCAGTATTCGGGTGTGCTACGTCACTAAGCTCAGATGTATTTTGTTCTGTTTCAACAATGCTGGATTCTTTTTCTATGTTTTCTATTGAAGGATATTTAGGTTTCTTATATACATGGGCTTGCCATTTGTCTGATGTTCTGAATAGACAATCTGTTAATTCAAATGGAGTAGGTCTGGTCCATTGTACGTATATTTTATTTATTATGTAAGCTTTTCTTTTCTTAGCTTCAAAAACCTTGTTTTTGCAAGTAGAAGTTCTACAATCTATTCTGTGCTTCAACTGATTCCATTGAGGTAGTGCTCTTATTTGTGTTTTGTATAGATTTTCAATGTTCTCTATGTATTTTTTTAAATTTACATCATAGTCTTTATTTCCTCGGATTCTTAGATGCCAGCAATTATACCTGTCCATTTATAATCCTTATTGTTAATAAATAAAATTTTAACTAGTTAAACATTATTATAAAAGCCCGTGTATACAAATTCAAGACAGGTTCATTCAAATATGACAGTTTTGTCAAAGCATTATAGCAAATTTATCCTGTTTAACGAAAAAGTTCATGAAATGTATCGTAGGTCCTTTTATCCGATTGAGTTGAAACTTTCATAGTTTCTGTTAGGTAGTACTTCAGGGAAAGTCTCCGGCGCTTTAAGCTTGAACAATTTCTTACAATTCAAACAAGTACCAAAGTGTATTTCATAAATTTAGCATATCGGCATATTGGTGGACATTTATCAATAATCAAAATGTAATCTAATGTAATACACGCTATTAGATTACAGTATTCTTACTGTGTATTATATCTCAACAGGTTTAAGATGGATACATCAATACCTCGCGTGATATTAGGCATAGCATTAGCAGCTCTGTTGCCAATTGCATCACCAAAAGACGAATTGGCAAAAGAGAATATACCACATTCAAGACAAAAAAGGATACTTTGGATAACGAATGATGGACGTCTGGCTTTACCACCAGGAACAACAATGGCGATCACACCATCACTCTCGATGCCATTTGTCCGACACCCACCAAAAGGATTCCTTTCAAATATGACCATCAGCTTCCCATTCTCAAGTAAGATACATATTTTATTGAATTTGTACGATTTGTGAAAATGATTAACTTATACTTTCATGTAGGGTCTGAGAATTTAGTAAAAATCAAATAATTTACAGGTATCCTGATATGTCAACTGGATTTACAAAGTTTGTATTTAGAGAGCTCATAGTAGTAGTCGGTAGTTAATGTAGCTAGATTGAATTGTTAGCAACATCTCGTTGTAATTTTATCATAGTCTGTTCTGATATAATTATTGTCAGACGTATTTTCTTCGTAGTACTAAATAACAGATTATCGATTAATTTACGTGAACTTTGGAAGGGTTTCTGAACTTATTTAAAATTTGTATTCTATTTAACTTTCGTTTCTTTTCCTAATATTGAAAACGGAACCCGTCTTCCGACAATACATTTGGTTTTATTTTGCGTAAAAAAGCTTTATAAGTATAAACTTTGGTATCCGAATTAATGTTATACGAATTTTATTAATTTACAACAAAATTTAATGAGTTTCTGTCCTTTCAGTCGACTTCGACAAGCTAGGATTGACCGACAATGAGAATCCTTACGGCGATTTTCCTCCAATATTGGCCCGCTCTATGAGTGGGGCCGCTTTAAACATGGTGACAGATTATGTTACTCGATACTTAGAAAGAAGGAGGGGAAAACGATCGGTTCATGATTCTGTTACGCCTGAGATCGAAAGAGCAGTTTTGGATCGACTGCATGGCGGTGAAAGGTAAATGGAGTTCTTCTTTATCAGTTGTAAAAAAACCTCTATTTTGAAATTTAATCGTTAGTGACACAAGTGACGGATTATCATTTAAAATGACTTTAATAATTAGAAATTATCGGCAGATTGGCATTAAAAAAAAAAAAAATTGGAAATATTAAGTGTATTATCTATGTAATTATTTTTTCACTTATGTACGCTTTTAACTGATAACTTTTAAAATTTAATTGTAAAACAATATTGCGAGATATTTTTCAATTAAATATGTTAAAATTTATTTTAATAATACATCCCAATATCAGTCGTTAGGATAAAAACAAAAACAAGTTTACACGAAGCCGTTTAGTCTTTAAGGGTTTAATAATTTTTACGTAAATAATTTACTCGCAAACAATTCTGGCCAATACGAGGCTTCTTAAACGAGGTCAAACAATCTTAGCTCTGGGGACCACACACAGTAGCTATTGTCACGTATTTCAGTCACCGGACAGACCTGGTGTGCGTTGACTTATTGGCGGTTACTTTCACCTTCATTCCGATAAAGCACATCGGGAATTCTCTTCACGGAACTTCTTGGCAGGAAGTTTAACGAGCGACCGCTTCGAATGCTATATGTGATTCGAAAATCGACGCAAAACAAAAACGACGTGACGTAACGTCTTCTGTTCATCTAGTACTTTATTCATTATCTAATTTACGTACAACGAGATCATTTGCTCAACAATCTATACTAATATTATAAAGAGGAAAGATTTGTTTGTTTGTTTGTTTCGAATAGGCTCCGAAACTACTGGACCGATTTGAAAAATTCTTTTTCCATTAGAAGCCGACATTGTCCCTGATGAACATAGGCTACATTTTTTTAATTTTTTTTAATTTTTTTGTTTGTTTCATGTGTGTTTTAATGTTTCCGAAGCGAAGCGAGGGCGGGTCGCTAGTTCTATATATATATATTTTTATTTTTTTTATTGCATAGATGTGTGGCCGAGCTCACAGCTCACCTGGTGTTAAGTGGTTACCGGAGCCCATAGACATCTACAACGTAAATGCCGCCATCCACATTGAGATATGAGTTCTAAGGTCTCAGTATAGTTACAACGGCTGCCCCACCCTTCAAACCGAAACGCATTACTGCTTCACGGCGGAAATAGGTAGGGTGGTGGTACCTACCCGTGCAGACTCACAAGAGGTCCTACCACCAGTAATATACGTTCACTTTCGTACAAGTTTTATTCAACAAAATCATTTACGTTACTTAATATTAGTATTGCTCGGTGTGCTTAGTGCGAGATTTTTACCTTTCTCGATAGCGTAAAAGTTAGCTCATATTTGTATGGAAAGGGATCGTTTGCCTACGTTTGCCGCTAGGGGCGCTGTTCCAACTGCATACAAAATTGGGCTAACTTTTACGCTATCGAGAACGTTAAAAAACTCGCACTAAGCACACTGTTGGGTCTTTTATGTAAATATGGACGTGAAACTCAAAAGCACTTTAGATTCTAAATCAGCTCATAAAATTGTATATATTGTTTCTAGAGCCATAATGTACGGTATAGCAGAAGACATGTTATCCAATTTCGGACTCTCGGGGAAGGAATGCTTGCTTCGTGCCATTTGTGAGATACAATCACATCCCCTTACAAATTTCGGTTTCCTTGGGGAAATAATGAAGCTGTTCTTCACGTGAGTATCCTTATTTACCAAATAATATGACTTAGAACATTATTAATAGAGTAATAGATTATATAATAACCACATTAACAATTAAATCGTAGTAGGGATCTATTGTCACGTAATTAAATTCATTTATCTCGTAAATTGTATGAAACTTAAATTGATAGATAAAAAAATATATTAATATAATACTGTGATTAAAGCCCCTTGGTCCAGTTGACATGACGATTTGATGAAACTGTTTAAGTGAAGAATAAACCTTTTTCTAAATTTTATAGGCCCAGCAAATCTCCATACTCTGATCTGCTGCCCGAATATTTAGAAGCGCAAAAGGCCGGAGAATCCGGCGGCGAATGTTGGCCCTACTACAGGCTATGTCCCAAGAGCATTTTCCAATCTTCGACGAATAAGTACACGTAAGTTTATTATTGTACTAGCAAAGATCAGCAATAACTGGTTAAATGGACACTTACCCAAGAATTTTATTTCAAAATGCTGATGCATAACCATGATTTTAAACATTTAGTAATTACCAGTTTGGTGTGTATCTGAATAATCAATTAATGCATTGAAAAAGACAGTTGTTACTTTATCTGTCTGAACGGCAAAATACACAAATTTTTTTTGCACACACGTTCGTACATCTACAGATTTAACATTTATTTTTAAAATTCAATTTAAAATTAAAAAATACTTGTTCAATGACAAAACATGTTATCTCTACCACATCGGTTCCAAAAAAGCCACAATTTTGGGAAGAAGCAGCAAAACAAACTCAGCGAGATTATTTTTTTTCTTGATACCACCTCATTTTATGATTCCAGGTGAACATATCTATGAAAATAAGTCTTTTGAATTAAATTTATTAATTTTTTTTTATTGCCCTTGTAGGCAGACGAGCATACGGCCCACCTAATGGTGAGTGGTTACCGTCGCCCATGGACTTCAGCAATGCCAGGCGCAGAGCCAAGCCGCTGCCTACCGAAACTGATTAATTTTTAACGAGTGTCATAGCTTGTTGTAAAGCGAGCCCTTATAAGCAAATTATATTATTCCTTTGCACTAATTAACTTACGCATATTTATAGGCAAGAAGCTGAAAACATTCACAAAAGACAAGAACACGAAAACATTGAAGAAAATAAAATAGAAGAAATTCAAGCAATGTAACATATGGTACAGGTTCACAAACGAAATACGCCGACATAAAAGTTCTACAAAGCTAAAATGATCCAAAAGATAGTGGTAGTTTTCGACCAAAGCTCTATATAAATTAGTGTTTGATCTTTATTTTCATTTATTTATTATACTAGTGGAATTTTCCCAAAATAAATTTATTTTAACGTAATTACATGCATTTGAAAATGTTTTATGATTAAGAGTTTATTTATAACTAAGTGCCATTCTATAAAAAATACTTTATCTATGTATATGTAATATTACAAGTATATACAAAGTTGTGAAGTCTTATATTTTAATTGTGTCTTATTATGGCTTACTTAATGTTGCTTTTCCTATATTTATATTTTTAATTGTTAAATTTTGTATATTTTCAAAGCGATCGTCCTAAATAAATAACATAGTGAATACAAATTTAATTATTTTAAAGTGGTAATAAATACTGGTTAAGTGAAATGCATTTTAATTAAAATTTATAATTACGTAACTTATGTTCGTAGAAAAATAATTAACCCAATCCAACTAGTGTTGCGTGCACATCACACCATTTAACTGTGTCAATGTCGCAATATACCTTTGCATTTTTATTCCGAACTTAGTTGACCTCCGTGAATCAATAATGGAATTGTCAATATGGTGTGTCTGAACTTCACTTTATCAACCAGTGAATGTTCAAAAGCTCCGACAGGGGGCGTGAAACCAAAGACGCGCTACACAATATTCACCCGAGTTCATTTTAATGATTCGCTCTGCCTAAGGTAAGGTTGAATCAAAACTTACTAGTGTGTGCGTTCAATATTTATGTGTGATTGCTGTGCTGCATTACAAGCGCAGAATGAAATGTACGTGTTAATACTTGTCGTGTGTATGCTATTGGAAAGCACGGCCGTTTCAAAACGAAGCTATTCGGATCAATCGGTGAAAGGTTATGTCACGGAGGTACAATAAAAATCGTTTATGTTATTATTATTTTTTGTTAGATTTCAGACTAATATATCTCCATCGTTACATTTTAGAGAACTTGTTGGTGGAATGAAGTTTGTAAAGAAGAATTTCAGATACTATTCCGTTGTAAATGCCCAGCATGGTCGTACTGTAGAAGCCCTGGGAAATACTACAACGCTGTGTGTTCTATGACAGAGACTGGTTATATCTGGGATCAACCAAATTCTGAATGGAGAGGGCAATGAGATTTTTTAAAACAAATAATGCACCAATCGGCACACATCCCCTTTATACTTTGTCCGATTAAATTCTAATTTAAGACTGATTATTTATAAAAAATAAGGATATTTTATTATCGTGTACCTTATTTCCTCGTCTTGTTTTAGCATAATTCTGAGTTATAAAAGGTAAGTTCTTCTTCCAATCATTTACGCGTGTAAAATGTGCTATCCAATGAATAATAGATTTATATGTACTCGATAAATTTGGCTTTTATTTTCCATCTATATCTAAACGTGACCTTGAAGGTATGGCTATGGTGTGATTGTATATTTCGCGCATGCGTACAATAAGTACCGAAAGACCAGAAATCAATAACGTCTTAAGCACTCGACAGTCCTGTTCCAACAATAGACCACAACAAACAGTTCGAAAATGTTGTTCGTTTTACTGTACGCCGTAATTCTTAATGGCATCAATTGCGAGCCGGAAGCGGTTAGGGATAACTTTGACTACTTCAACTATGGCGCGAACGATGATGTTTTGAAAAACTTAGAATCTCAATTGGTAAGTCGACATAAAATCCCCAAATACATAGTAAGTACATGGCGGCCTTATTTGTAATCGAATTGAACGGGAATTTTCAGTCGAAAGATGAAGTGGTCTTGAGACCTCAAGAAGTCAAAGACTGGCCACAGCAATCTTTGAATGTCGGACAAATAACAGCAGTATCCATTAATTCTTTGGGACAGCCCGTGATATTTCACAGGGCAGATCGAGTATGGGACGAAAAGTGAGTACCGGTTGTAAAACAGTTACATTATGACGTGACGTATATTTATCATGTACACAATTTTAATACGTATTCCAAATGTGTTTTAGTACTTTCAACGAATCCAATGCTTATCAAAACTTCGACAAGGGACCTATAGTTGAAGATACAATTCTTGTTCTTGACCCTGGTAGCGGCTCCGTCCTACATAGCTGGGGAGCGTATATTTTTTATATGCCTCATGGCCTTACCCTCGATCATCATGATAACGTGTGGGTAACTGACGTCGCAAAACATCAAGTATATAAGGTAACTATGGCAATTGCTTGGATAACTTGAAGTCGTCGTGGCCTAAAGGGTAAGACGTCCGGTGCAATCGTATCTAGTGATGTAACGGTGTTCGAATCCCGCAGGCGGATACCAATTTTTCTAATGAAATATGTAATTAACAAATGTTCACGATTGACTTCCACGGTGAAGGAATAACATCGTTTAATCAAAATCAAACCTGCAAAATCATAATTTGCGTAATTACTGGTGGTAGGACCTCTTGTGAGTCCGCACAGGTAGGTACCACCACCCTGCCTATTTCTGCCGTGAAGCAGTAATGCGTTTCGGTTTGAAGGGCGGGGCAGCCGTTGTAACTATACTGAGACCTTAGAACTTATATCTCAAGGTGGGTGGCGCATTTACGTTATAGATGTCTATGGGCTCCAGTAACCACTTAACACCAGGTGGGCTGTGAGCTCATCCACCTATCTAAGCAATAAAAAAAATCTAATTATTTTTACGACGACAGTTTATATCTATATTATGTGGCCTGTTTCGGTATTAGATTTAGGTACTCACTTAAATACTTCTCTATTTATTTTTACAGTATACGCCAAGTAACCACAGATATCCGACCCTGACTATTGGCGAACCCTTCACAGCTGGTCTCCCATTCAGGCATCGTGTTTTATTTTGCATGCCTACATCAGTAGCAATTGCTAGCACCGGAGAAATTTTCGTAGCTGACGGATACTGCAATAATCAAATAGTAAAATTCAATGCCGCTGGGACTCTATTGCTGACGATTCCAGCTTATTCCGACACCTGGTCATTGAATTTGCCTCACAGTGTCACTTTGCTTGAACATTTGGATCTGGTTTGCGTGGCCGATAGAGAAAATATGAGGATCGTGTGCCCGAAGGCTGGATTGAAAAGTTACGCGGATCCGTTAGAGCCGCCTACGATAATTGAAGATCCCACTTTGGGCAGGGTGTTTGCTGTGACTTCTCATGGTGATACTATTTACGCTGTGAACGGTCCCACGTCACAGAATATTGCTGTCCGAGGCTTTACAGTTAACGCTGTTTACGGAAACATTTTGGATACTTGGGAACCGACCACTGTAAGTTTATTTTCACAAACCAAAACTTATTACAACAAAATATATATATTTTTTTATTTCTAGAATTTATTTGAAATTTAACAAAGGAATCGAACACGATTGAAAAAATTCAAGTTTGGGGATTCTCAAATTTTATTTCACTTTATAGGGATTCACGAACCCACACTCGCTGGCGGTTACAAGGAACGGATCACATCTCTACGTTTCTGAAATTGGACCGAACAAAATCTGGAAGTTTGAATTGACCGACGTATACGATAAGAAATAGACGGTTTTTGGTAGTCAAATGTAGGGCTATCACTCGAGATATTGGCTGTAGGAAGCGAATATAATTCGCACATCGCTGCGTTTATTCGACGAAATTATTCGTCTAATTCGTTGATCTCCATAAACCAATTTTATATGGATTTCAACTAGCGTGTATCTCAAATTTACCTTAAGGTTCATTAAAATGTTTTTTAAATGAATTACGAGACGTTTTTTGAAACAGATTAACGTCACAACATCGATATATTACCATCGTGGTAATATATATCGATATGTCACAAACTAAACACAACTATGACCTGAAGTTCGCGAATAACAAAATGTCAGATTCAACGGTATTGTAACCGAAATTAGTATTTTTATTGTGATTGTATTGTCCGTAACATAGGTACGCCTACTAAAAAGCCTAAGCCAACATTTGAAATTCATGAAGCACATTGCAAAGCTAATAGAATAGTATATTAGGTAACACTACGAGTTCTCGTTATCAAACTCACTCTAGAACTATGTATCACATGTTACGATTTTGCTTTCGTTTAGAATTGAGAGTTAGGTATTAAATAAATATATTAAAAAAGTATTATAGTAACTGCTGTTGAAGTAGGTTATATCGCTTGAAAAGTATTTACGCATTGATATCGATACCAAAGGTCCAGTGCAATCACGCACAAAACAATCGAAGATTAATCGAGTGGTGTTTGATGAATTATTGTATGTCAAAATATAATAATCACCTTTGAATTTAATTATTAATCTATTAAAAATATATCTAGATATCAACTGTCTTTTCTTTTCAGTCCTTTATTAATAAGTATTGCTTATTGAAACAATTTTCAATTTATTTCTTCCAGTAATATTGAAGTTTAAAGCGTGCGTGAAGTTTTTCTGTTAAAATATTACCTAATGCTATTTGATCAACAGAGTGTTTATTTAATTTGAAATTCTTAAATTAAATTATTAATTTGTAATTTTGCGGGATACTTTCTTTTTTTTGTGGCAAGCTTACATACATTTTTTTTTAATTTTAATTTTGTATAAACAGTTTCGTATTTAGTTTGGTATTGGACAGGTTAGTACATGCCAATGTATTATTTTAATAAACATTGATCAATCGGATCAGTAACCTATCGCTTTCTGCGTGAAGCAGATATTTACGTTGTAGGTGTCTATGGGCTCCAGTAACCACTTAACACCAGGTGGGGTGTGAGCTCGTCCACACATCTAAGCAATAAAAAAAAAAAAAAATGCATTCCAGTTTGGGGAGTGAGACAGCCGTTCGAATAACTATACAATTGAGATTTCTAGCTCATGTTTTAAGGTGAGTGCGGTATTTACGTTGATGTCGTTGGGTCCCGATAACAAATTAACGCCAGGCGGGCCGCGACTTCATCCACCCATTTATCTATTCCCCAGTTTCATGGCAAATCTCATTACCACCCCAAGTGTTCCTCAGCGGACTTTACACATTACGCGCCTCATTGAATGTCAAATGTCATTTAAGCAAAAAATTAGCGTGACGTGCATTCCATCGGTGTATTTCTTTATCACTATATTTCAGCATTCACTTCGTATGTGCATGGGCTCAGGAAATATTAGTGTCCGCGTAATCTTTCAGCTATATCATCTATCTCTATATTATTATATAAAAAAGAATTGCTGTTCGTTAGTCTCGCTAAAACTCGACAACGGCTAGACCGATTTGGCTAATTTTGGTCTTGAATTAATTGTGAAAGTCCAGAGAAGGTTTAAAAGGTTGATAAATATGAAAATGCTCGGAATTAAATAAAAGTAACAATTTTGTTTTTCCTTTGATGTGTCCCCCGTCGAATTCCTTGTGTTTGTTTTAAGTTTATTTTATACAAAAGTTAGATCTTTTATTTATCGATTGAGGCACTACGAAGTCTGCCGGGTCAGCTAGTATGCAATAAAAATAGTTAATACTAGAGACGTCTTTCAGCTTTCAGCGTTAAATTGAACAACGAAATTCGATTTAAATCACCGATACCACAAGATTTAGATTAATTCAATGAATTACATTTTCTCCTTGTTTTTTTATTTTATTTTTATTGCTTAGATGGGTGGACGAGCTCACAGCCCACCCGGTGTTAAGTGGTTACTGGAGCCCATAGACCTACAACGTAAATGCGCCACCCACCTTGAAATATAAGTTCTAAGGTCTCGAGTACCTATAGTTACAACGGCTGCCCCACCCTTCAAACCGAAACGCATTACTGCTTCACGGCAGAAATAGGCACGGTGGTGGTACCTACCCGTGCGGACTCACAAGACCTACCAGGTGTCGTTATTTACCTACATTTTTTTCTGTAATGATGGAGATCAAAAATGTTTTTTCAACATTCAAAAGTCCAATTGTTAAAAGGAAAACGGTTGACAACCAGACGAGAAAAAATAGGTCACTTTTATCTTTGCCTTTTTTTATATTTTTCCAATGGAGAATTTGAGATTAGTTAGCAAATAATTATCTGTGGTGATCGTAGGTATTAAGCAAATACTTTAACATATCTTTATATTTTATATGGAAAAAAATCAAGCTTAATTTTATATAGCCAGCCTATGAAACCCATTTAAAATGTATCATTTATTGAATGATACAGGGAAAACTAACAGTATTATCCAACTTACTACTACTAAAGGTAATAAATAATAATATATTAATTCATAAAAACAATTTCATATTACTGCTATATATTTATTATTCATCATAAATTATATCCACATTGTCATTGGATAAAGTAATTGTCATTAGACTTTAATAAAATAGTTTAACAATATATTCACGTACCTAAACATTTAAAGTTCGTATTTTCTTTTCTTAATAACCTTCATAAACAGGACCATATCTGAAAATTAATTTGACAATTTTATTAACATTTTTTTCTCTTGTCCATGTTCCAAGGGAAAATCCACCTGTGATTTTGATTTAATTAAGAAATCGGTGGATAACACTGTAAGGCCAAGCTTTACATTATTACAGCGATATAAATGAAACTTAAAATTAAGTTTCAAGATTGACATTTAGATTGTAGTGTCTATGAACTCCAGTTAATATAAAAACAGTTGTCAATGCCTCTATCCATCTTCTTATCAGGCGTCATACTTCCACTGGACATAGGCCTCCCCAAAGCTTTGCCTCTATCCATCATTGCTTGTAAATTATGGCACACAAAGTACAACAATCACTACTTTTTTACTAACGTATGTAACTACGATACGTAACTATAACGATTTTGCTACTATCAGGACAAGTTATGTATGGCAAAAAAATCTGAGTAAGCACTACACTAAGAGAAGGATCGGAATGGCAAAGGGGGCCATGGCGCAAATTAATAAGATATGGAAAGATAAAAACATCTCCCTGAAAACCAAGAGCAATCTTGTACGCACTTTAGTGTTCTCCATATTCATATATGGCGCAGAGACCTGGACCATGAAGAAAGCCGATCGCGATCGAAATGTTGCATTTGAGATGTGGTACTGGCGAAAGATGCTAGAAATTCCCTGGACAGCACTTCGCACCAACGTGTCGATCCTCCAAGAACTCCAGATAAAGACGAGGCTTTCTACCATCTGCCTACGTAGAGTTCTGGAATACTTTGGCCACATTTCAAGAAAGGATCACGGCAGCTTGGAGAAGCTAATGGTGACTGGCAAGGTGAACGGAAGAAGACCACGAGGTAGAGGCCCGACACGTTGGACTGACCAGATCCGCACTACCCTCGACACCACAGTTCACGATGCTCTACACCCGGCGGCAGATAGCGGCAAATGGCGTGGAATGGTCCGTAATAAACTCTTGTTGCGAGGAGGTGGTCACGACACTCAGTATTGAGGAAACCGAAGCAAGAAGAAGAAGCACTACACTTACTAATAAATATAACCATGACCACAGCTAACATGATCCAGAGCCAACATTTCCAGGCACTTCGACTGTGTTCCTGCAATCTCTCCGATTCCACTTTCAGTGATGACAAGTTACGGTCGGTCAAGTCTGATGATTTTTTTAATGCCTGAAAGTATGTGAAAAGGTTCAAAATCAAAGACTATTATTGGGCATTCTGAGTAATTAGTTTTGAAAGCGAAAATATGGCCTCTGATAGCTGGAGAGCTGCTTTTTTTACGTAATAAGCAGGTGGTGGTGCTGTTCTTTGATGTAGTCTCTCAAAACGCATTTTTACCTATTAAAAACCAAGTGAAGTATCTGCAGACTACTCTGCTTCTGCTATACTCAAACAAGTGAATCTATATAATATATTAATACGTGAAGCAAAAACTTTGTACCCCTTTTGACGAAAATTGCGCGGACGGTGGAGTATAAAATTTCCCACACTTATATAGAGAAGGAGTGCAACATGTTAATATTTTTTTTAATTATGCATAAAAAGTACATTAAATCAATAAACACACCACCATATTTTACACACACACACATGTATACTATTTGTTTATTGTTTAACTTTTCTTAATTCTTAGTCTGTGGTCAAATTGAGAATAAATTAAATATTGTTTATCTTTATTATTATTTGTCTAAAATGTAGTCTTGGTGAAATATGTGATTATAGAATTATAATAAATAGTCTTTGACAATAGAATCATAATAATGTACAAACTTATAATTTCAAATAATTATAGTCGAATTTCGATTACTGGGGGACCACTAGTAGTTACTAATATCCATATCCATATCCATGTGAACGTATTTATTACATACTTATATGTGCAGTTACGTACATATTATTTACATACATATAACTTTCAGAAAGTTAAAAGTTTTACTATTAGCCCTACCTCTATCCTGTATCTAATCATACCAAGCATGGGCAAGTACTTCAAATTTTTCTATTCTTATCTCGAGTGTCTATAAGTCTCTGGGATAAATTTTGGCACTGAACTTCATAAATTCCACGTAATATATAGCTAATATTAATTAAAAAGACGACCATGAGGAAAAAAACATCTGCTTTATTTTAACTAAGTAATTTCCCACCTCTGTATCTGCCTTAATAATTGTACTAGCAATCTGTGACTGCTCCTTCAAGTTCTTTGTAAGCATCACCATGTTCTCAGCAACTTTCTCCTGCATGTTCTGATGGTATTTCAGAATTGAATCAATGTCTTCCTGACTGGTAGTGTTGCTTGTGAAATTTGGTGTTTTAATAATGTTCCTTTTACGGAGAGAGTCATCATTATCATCTGCAGCAAAAACCTTTATTTGGGGCTATATTAGTTTGTACTAAATTAACAAGAAACTGGGATGATAGATGATGAACTGGGAGAGTTCTGAAACTGTTAAAATAAATAGAAACCCACTTAACCAAAAGTAAGCTATAATAGTATGGTATAAGGGTACGGGGGACCGACGTCTGCCGAACAATTACAGACCTATTTCTATTCTGCCAACCCTCTCAAAAATTCTGGAAAAAATTATGAACCATAGACTCATAAAATTCTTAGACAAATACAACCTTCTCTCCCCCTCTCAATATGGTTTCCGCTCTGGTATATCGACTAGCGATGCAGTTTTAAACTTAACTAATGAAATTGTCACAAAACTAGATAAAAAGAACAAAGTAATTGGTATATTCTTGGACTTAGCTAAAGCCTTCGACACGATTTCTATCCCAACTCTCATAACTAAGCTTGAAGCCGTTGGGTTGAGAGGCAATCAGCTTTCTCTTTTCAGGAGCTACCTTACGGGCAGACGTCAATGTGTCAAAATCAGTGACCTTATCAGTGACGAACTCCCTANCTAACCCAACCCAAACAGTTCAGATCTTAATTCTACTCCATACTTAGCAACAGTCTTTTGATGTATCTCTTGTGTTGCATCAACTGACATTGTAGCTGCACCGTGCGATAGTTGTTGAACTGCTTCAAGCTGTGTAGAAATTATTCACAAATTAATGAAAAAAAAATGTTTTTCTTTTTGGTTTCCAATATTTTTGATTGATGTGTCTTTCCAAATAAAATCACAAAATGAGATCCAACAAACAAGGAATGGAAGGGTACTAATCAAAACAATAGATTTTTTACATTACAAACAGAAAGCAAAAGCTAAAGATTGGGAAATAGAAAAGTATTGATATTTCTGGTGGCCTTTTTAAATTAAAACAAGTAAATTTTACCTTCTCAATAGGAGTGCTCAGTGTAGCAGTTTGAACAACACCTTTTAAGAAAGCTGCTCTTTTTGAATACTCAGACAGTATATCTTTTGATGGTTTACTGAAAACATAAGATTGATATATAAGATCTGTTATTTTTGGATATATTCATATCTGGAACTTTTTGGTTTTTTTTTTTTTTTATGGCTCGAGTCTCTTCTTTGACGAATGACTCTGCCAATGTCAGGTAGATAGAATATCAGTGATTTAAATAGATGATAGCAGATGAGATGAATGAGAACGGGAGAAAAATGAACGGGAGAGATATGATCTAAAGTACCGATAGATTTACCACAACTACACATAGGAGAAGGTTTAATTTTTAGCTTAAATAAGAATTGTGGTGAGCAAAAGTGACCCAATCGAAGCCTGATAAGTACACTAGTTATTTGCTTGTTGAATTTTTTGAACTTATAGAACCAAGGTTTGATAAAGACACTAGGATTTATTTTAGAATATTGATATTTGTAGGTCTCCCATTGCTTTTGCCAGTATGATACGAGATTAAGTTTAATGTTATGAATAAGAACTTTTTGTTAACATGAAGACTACAACTTGACTTCAAAGTTGAAGTTTTTTGCATTCCCCTTGATATTCGAGATATCAAGATACTACTGTCTATACAATGTCTAAAGTAGGATATTGTAAATGTTATAATATGTACTTTTTTAATTAGGCTTCAATTTCATAGTTACTTTTTATTTCTTAAACGGGTAATCACACTCAAACGAGTACTCAAAACTTAAGTTATCTGATGTTTAAGACATTAACAATTATCTGAATGGTGCCAAAGCTTGACATCTAAGATTGAAGTTTCAATTCTATTTTATTGTTCAATTGTTGTTTGAACCATCCTAATGAAAATTGTGAAAATGACAGTACCTACTATATGGCCTACGAATAGTATTTAGGGCATTTTTATAAATATTGAGAGTTTCATTTCTGTTACATGTTATCTCTTTAATGCGGTATCTATTTACCAACTGGATCAGTACATATGTCCTTATAAAACAGGTCTCTGATTGTTGGATTAGATGAATTGCATCACTTGATATGAGTACACCAAGCACTTTATCCTTTAGGCATTTCTAATTAGAATTCGCCGTCCTAAATAAAGAGTAACTGTTAACAGATTGAAGATGGCACCATAGGTTGAATTTAGTCTATGAATTTTGAAATTTGATTAACAACCATCCGTTTGATTAAATTATAGGCAATTCAAAATGTTTACGCAGAACTATCACAATAAAGCCCTGGTTGATCATGTCTAAACTATTTGTATTTACTGTGAGAGTCTTACTCAGGTCCAGTTTTTAGTTCCGTAATCATACTGCTTAAAGATTCCACATATTTTTTTAGACGCCAGTTCCCGTCTATTGATTCCTCTTTGGCTATAAGTTCACATTTACTTAGGAGCTGTCTTACATTCATTTCTAAGCGAGATTTCTTTGGTACAGGAACTGTGGACAATTTGGGTTTCTCTATTGCCATATTGCTTGAAATAAGAAATTTACAAGTTGTAGCAGTCTTCTTCAATTAATTATGCAATTTCAACTTTAGTTTTTGAGGTACGTTTACAAATAAAACAAAACTTTATTGATTTTCTAGTAGGTCATCAGCAGGAATTTTGAATATGTGACAATGACAGCATTCTACAACTAGTATCCATAGACAATATTTTTTTAAAGATTTTACCGCTTGATAACGAGACCTTTGAGCTAAGTCTTATAATAATAATAATAATTTATTTATTAACCATGATACATTTACACATAACAGTTTGCTAAAAACTCTCCACACTAGGCACTGCCTGTCTCGTGGAGAGTTTTTTTTACAGGAGTATCTTAAAACTAGTAATAACGGTGCTGAATATACAAGTAAATCAAAGTAGTTAAGCGAAATATTATACATATATATATACACACACACACATATACATNATAATAATAATAATTTATTTATTAACCATGATACATTTACACATAACAGTTTGCTAAAAACTCTCCACACTAGGCACTGCCTGTCTCGTGGAGAGTTTTTTTTACAGGAGTATCTTAAAACTAGTAATAACGGTGCTGAATATACAAGTAAATCAAAGTAGTTAAGCGAAATATTATACATATATATATACACACACACACATATACATATATACACATACACATATATATAAAAAGAAAAGGAACAGGTGTAATGATTTTTACCACAAGTAAGTTTAAGTCTTAAATTTTCTATTCTGAGGCGATGTCAAAAGTGATATGAAGGGAAATAAGATAAACTTCGTTAATTTGAGACTGATAAATTGGGATGAAACTAATTAATGAAATGAGATGAGATGGAATAAAATAAAGTCCAGCGGCTTTGTGCATTTTTCCATATTTGTGCACTGTCACAGATGTTATACCAATGTCAATGGTCCACTGTCATTTACACCATAGATTATACACTTAATAGATTTACACACTTTATATCTGAAGAAAAACTAAATCAACAAAATGAAACAATTCACATAATTTAGCTCCTCGCGTTCCTTCAATAATACATTTAATATTTAATTTTAGTCTCAAACTAATGTTGGTTAATAACGATAGTATCAATCGAATATTATCCCTATATAGGCTTGAATCGCCAGTATGAAAGACTACCATGTTATTGAACCACATGAAAAGTGGCAGTCTTGGTACCTATTGTAGTGAGTGCTGATTTTTTTTTCACAAACTAGACTGGATTTTTCATATTACCCACGGATAGAAATTGGGGAATAAAGAAAAGACGATCTCGACTCTAATGACCAACAATGTTGTAAAACCCAATAAATAAAATAAAAAAACATTGTGTAAAAGACTTTATTTTGTTTATAGAATACTTAATTAAATATTATTAAGATTTAGCAGGCTGTTTCTTGGCAGCTTCAGCTTCAGCTTCGGTCTTTTCGAATTCGGCAATGAGTTTCTCAACTTCTGTATTCGTTAGAATCCTGATGATAGTCTTGTTGTCCTTACGAGTTAGTGTTGCCATTTCGACTGTAAGGAACATATAAGATTATTTGTTGTTTCCATATAGGTACTTTATTGCAATATTAAAATTTAACATGCAGCGGATTTTTGGCGGGAAAGCGAGGAGTGAAGTTGTGTGATTTGTTTTATTTTGTCTATTTAGTGTTTCTGCAGGTTTAATTGTGTAAACACGGTGGTTTATTAACTGTTTTGTATCTGTGAAAGTGCACAATGGTGATGTGGGAAAATGAAACAAAGCCACTGAACGTAGCTTCTCGGGATCCTCCAAAAAGCCCTCTCAAAAAATGACCACCATTTTACTGAGATTATATTTCATCCCCTATCATCTCATCTCATTTCATTTAATTTCATCCCAGTTGATTAATATCTCAAATTAATCATCTTCATTTCATTTCACACCATTTTATCATTTTTCATTAAAATAAGAATATAAAATAAAATAAGAAATGACCTAAAGGTCTTAGTTACCAGGTCATAAAATCCCTTAAAAAAATTTACATGCAGCCAATACAAAAACCAACAAATAATGTTGAGATGTAAACTATATAATTTCAATTTTTTTTATTTCTGGATTAAATATTTACCTTTTTCTGGAGTCAGTTTAGTCATATCCAAAGTCTTGCTAAGTACTTTGATTGCCAGGGCCTGTGCTTCTGCCAGAGTTGTCTCATTTTCCTTGTACTCCTGTTTTAAACTTGAAACTGCTGCCTGTATTGTAAATAATAAAATCGTAAAAAAATAATGAAATTTGGGTTTTGACTGATATATTTTGTTCACTGCATTAATGACTGACTCAGTGGCACAGTCACTAGCACCTCTGACTATTGGATCAAGGGTTGCAGCTTTGATTCTTAGATTAGGAAAATACATATTGTCATGATCAGGTGTGGTTTGTTCTGAATTATTTATGTATTATCAATCAAAAGAATGGCTGAATATGCTTAGCAGATTTGAGTTAACATAAATAAATAATAATCTACATACACAATAATTTACATTATATTCACTTATTTATTAAACAAAATAATTGTAATTTATGAAATCTAGAAACCTTCAAAACCTAAAGATATTATATAACTTCCTTGTGTACATATGGACGTACAGACCAACTAGATATAGGTCTAAACTATCTTAATTGACCAAGCATTACGTTTGTCATACTATTGTACATCATTTAAATATGTAGAATTCAGATATAATATTTGCCAAGAATGGCCTATTTATTGCATCGGGCATTCTTGACAGATTTCCACATGAATCAATATTGTGTTGATATTATATATTTAACACTTTATGGACTGCTAGCCTATTAATCAGCTTGTCTATTGCAAGTGCCTATTCACCAATACCTATTGATCAATTTTTAGCTAGCCAGCTTTCTTTCATAAATTGAGATTTAATATTTTGTTGTGCCTTTTTTTTAATGGGTCTTGTAGGCAGCATGCGGCCCACCTGCTGATGCGACCATCACCCATGGACGTCAGCAATACCAGAGACAGAGTTAAGCTGCAACCTATTGTTAAGTACTCTCGACAAGCCTCATTTGAAGGAAAACATGTCAGAGCTCAGGAAGCACTAGCTCTATATAAATTTTTTCATATTCTTGTGGAATATAAAGATAATAAGGGGACAAACGAGTGTTAAACCAGAACAAGCAAGAGGATATTGGTACAATAGTTATTTCATCTATGAATTACTTACAGCACTATTGTTACCGATGCATGTTGCTTTCCACCCCCCATAGTTTCCACTGGGATCAGACTGGTAGAGCTGATAACCATAGTGCTTATCCCAGCCCATATACAGAATTGAGACTCCAAAGGGCCTTTTACCTGTAATTTGAATTTTACTATAAGATTTGGAGATATTAATTACAAAACTACAATAATAAATATGCAGAGCCCTGAGGAAAATATGTCAAAGATACAATGAGCTTTCAGATTTCCTAATTTCAGAAAATTTGGTCAATCAACTGTTTTTTGTTAAGGCATCTATGGGCATTAAGCGAATAAACCATTGTATATGTAGAGGGGCAGAAACAGCTGCCTCTGAAGTCAGTTTCTTGGCTATTGAGTCATAATGAGCAAAAAACTTTGTGATCTTTTGTGTGCTGCAAAATATTACTACCATTTGATGACTGATAATAATTGTATGCATATTTTTCTTTCAATTTAACTACTTATTTATACTTTACAACAAACTCCTTTTTTTTCGTCTAATTTTTCAAATTGTTTAAGTGAGAAGAATGTTTTAAATACAATATTAAATATTACCTCCATATTGTGTGTAAGCTTGTTTCACATCACAAAGCCAGGAGACTAATTGCTCACAAGGGATAGATTCGCCATATTGCAGCAGGTATCTTTGAGCGATCAGTCTTAATTCGTTTGTCAAAACGTTAGCATCCGATGTTATACCAGCGACTGAACAGACCATGTCATCATTGAGCTTGTAGATTTTTTCAGAAAAGAACACTTCATCTAGAAGTTTATTGGTGTTCCTGCGTTCTGCAGCCAAAAGAATACCATCCGTTGCTAAAATACCCAGCGATGTTCCCGCATGACTTATAGCTTCCATAGCATATTCGACTTGATACAGACGACCTACAAGAAAACATTTTTTTTAATAAATGTAGTTTATTTTATTAAGTGTCATTTTTTTTACTGTTACTGTACCTTCCGGCGAGAATATGGTTGTACGGGTATCATAACGTCGTGCCTGAAAAATTATAAATGTTGTTTTTTTAATGAATGACCAAGCAATAAAGTTCTAACCTACGAACGTTTAACTGATAAAGGTAGTTCACCGAAGCTTAAAGTATCTTACCATTTTCTCTACAAATATATATTATTTGTGATTGATATGACCAAATTAATAGTAACTTTTGTTGAAATTATATTCCAAAATAATGTCTAATCACTTGAAATGTCGCTTACCGGAACAATTTGACATTTGATATGTTTTTTATTTTTCTTTCTTTTGCTGGCAAAGGAAATTCGCCCATAAGTACAAGTTTATTTTTAGAAGTGCTACATTGCTTTTTTGCCTACCTAGCTGCTCAAATTTACTTGCCATGCATGCCCTATTTATCGTATGCAGTGTGAATTTTGTGTAGGAATATTTCATAGTTATGAAAAATTAGGCTGTAATGTGTACTGCCATTCTTTTGTTGTTGCTTTTTGAAAGTTGGTTTTCCAGAAAATGCGCCTGGTTTTATTCACAAGGCACATTTTTTACAGTTCTTACAGTGAAAAATTAGAAATCACCAAACACACTCATACTGAAATATTAGAGCGCAGTATCTAAGTACTAACTTCTATTTTTTCGTAGTGTATGCTTAGAGCGCCTCCGAAGAAGAACTAACAACTCAAGAGTAGCTGCTTCGCGAATGAATCTATTACCGGATCGGAATTGCGACCCGATGAGAAGATCCGGCGAGAAACTCAGCGGGCTGATACATGGGTTAGGTTGCACGTCGAACTCTTTGCCGAGTTCGACGAGTAGGGTTACCGGGACCCCTAAGCCTGTTCCTAGTGTTAGAGCTGATGGTATCTAATGCAAGAGTTATTGGATCTGATGGATCCGTAAGGACGTGTCTAGGGCGACGACGGTGACTTGCTCTTGCGTGATCAGGATTCGGAGAGTAATCAACGGCGGTAACGATAAGGCGATTATCATGACGACCGCCTTATCGAAGTAATGTTCCGACACCGACTTCATGTGTTTGCGGATCGATTCGCGGTCCAGGTCGTCGTGTAGGTCGATGTTCCTCACGAACCACGGAGCCTCGACGGTTAGCCTGCAAAAGCGGGATTGTAGAGATTGGAGGGTGTCTATGTGTGTGCGGGCCGCGTGAGCAAACACCACACTCGTGTAAGTCATGACGGGCCTTATGCAAGTTTTGTAAAGTGTCACCTTGGGGTAAAGTCTGCCGAGAATAAACGCGGCACGATCGCAGACTGTTTTAATATGCGGGCGGAATGACATAGATGCATTCAGGGTGACTCCCGGGTATTTGACCTTCCTGGCCCAGGGAATAGGTTGGCCAAAGAGGGTGATCGGGGGTGTGAGACTTCTTCTCCTAGTGCGGGAGGAAATTCGTGTAGGTAGACTTTCCCCTTTAAAATAGCAACGCTGTACTTTTCACTGGTTTGATGTCTATGCGCCATTTTCGGAACCACTGCCCGAGGGTCACAGCTGCGCTCTGGAGCTTACTCACTTTAAGGGACTTGTTTCTAACCGAGTAATAAGCGGCTGTGTCGTCAGCGAATAAGGCTAACTGTATCGGCGACGACCGGGGAATGTCGTTAATATATAAACCAAATAGGAGCGGAGAGAGAACAGAGTCTTGCAGGACTCCAGCCGTGAGTGGTCGTGGTGAGGAGTGGGTTCCCTCTATTTGATATCGAAAAGAGCGGTTTGACAAGCAGTCCCGTATGATGAGCACGAGACTCTCCGGTACGCCTATGTTGAATAGTTTGTAAATTAAACCGTTGTGCCAGACTTTGACCGCTACAACTTGCTTGGATGACCTATCTAATGTCGAGGGAATATGTGACGTTACGATGTCTATGGCTTCAGCGGTATCCTGAGGGGACGGGGTAGAATCCGGGCTGAACGGGAGCGATGGTGGATCAGATTCAGCTAGGCTGATGCTCAGCGTGTCCCAATCCACTACAGTTTTCGTGACGGGAACCGAATTGGGAGCGCAACCGAGCTTCATAACGACGAGATTATGGTCTGAGTCTAACTCTGAAACTACTTCTATCGAACGTAAGCGCAGCTACATTTTTTAGTAATGCTATGTCGAGTATACCCGGGCGATGCGCAATATTTAACGGATAGTGCGTCGGGGTTAGCGGAGCGACGATATCGAAAGCGAGATCATCGACTAACGCGTCGATACGTCTGCCATTGGGGGTTGTGGTATGAGAGTTCCACCTGATGTGTTTACAATTTAGATCGCCCGCCAGAATGACAGAGCTTCCCATATCGAGCAGCGCCTCGATATCACTGCTTAAAATGATCTTATCAGGTGGAAGATAAACGGATACTATAACGATCGGCGCGTGTCCCGTCAGTAAGATTCGGCATACTGATGTTTCGATGTTAACGAGCGCGGGGTTCTTCCTGAATGTTCTTTATATCCCTACTCATAATATTCGATTCTGACTAGATGTCATCTGCGCTAATCACTATTAAGTACATCTATTCGACGACAGATGGCTCTCCCTACAACTCGGTAGATGGTTTTTATATTAATTAGCTACAATGCTTCCCTAGTAACAATAATAAAGCCTTCCTATTTTTATGTAAATGAAATTAATAATAATAATAAAAACTTTGTCTTTATCTTTTAGGTATATTTTGAATGTGTTTCTAAATTTTTAGTAGTTCCTAATTTAAAAAACAATACCGCATTTGTCATTTAAAGTTTCATACTATTTATTTATGTAAAGGCCTGATTTGCAATTTTGTAACAATTTATTTGCAGTTTCATTCATCATCATAACCCAACAGGCATATTGCTATATATAAATATAGCTTAGACCTTTGTTTTGATAAATATTATTAACAGCCTATTTTAGTCCACTGTTGGCTAGAGTCCTCTCCCAAAGCACGCCACGCGACCCAATTTTGGGCCACTCGATTGGATCTACTTTAATAAGCTCGATTTGGAAATGATTATCCACTAATCATTACCGTAGTGGTAGTAATAACAGTTAATATAAAAAAAAGTCTTCATTTGAAATGCGATCGAATTTTGAAAGTAAAAGAAAATAAAGCATCAGCTTGTATAAATTAACATTTATTCGACACTCAAACATTTAGGTCACTTGTACGAACTTAATATTATTATTAACTAATAACAATACAAGTAACTATTACAGTAATATAAGAAAGGCTAATAAACAGACAAAACAAACAACGTTTTTTTGGAAATCCTTAAAATTAAATTAAATATTTTGTTTTTTTAAATTAAAAGTGTTCTAAGTTTGATATACAGTTAATTAAACAGAATAATTTGTGAAACACCATTAAAACTGCTCGTTTTTTTTATGACAAAAAGAGCAACACGAGCAAATCGTAGTATCTTCCGGTTACAGAACTTTAGTTTAGAGATGATAAAAAATACGTTGAAAGCTACGGTCAAGCAAATAGAAACGCGTTAAAAATAGTTTTTCCTTGTCAACTTAAGGCTTGAGTTACTTACATTCAGAAATAGTGAAAAACAAAAAACAGTTTTCACTTATGAATTTTGTGCATTTTAAAAAAAAAGTACTAATCTTCTGAGACCACGAAATAATTTAACCAACGAACTAAAGAGGCCAAACCGCAAAACTGTTTATAAGCATGATGTAGTAAACGTTGTCAGGTTAGTTAGAAAAAGTGAGCCTAAATTCCAGTCAACTGTTATTTATACGCGTAAAACTGAATTACACGTATAAAAATTTTCTAATCAACAACACTCTAAGAAATTATTATTACACTAAGGATTTAATTTCATTTATAAACAATATATAATTAAAAGATGCAATACTTGAAAGTAGGTACTTAACCTTAAAAATAAAGCTATGAAAAAGGTTTAAGTTATACCTAATTCGAACGGACATTACATTCGGTTAATTTTTCGTCTATAGTTCCTATACGATCGCTTATTATTTTATTACGACTTACTATTTTAAATTCAACCTACGCGACACTGTCACCATCTGTAGAACCCGGGACTTCGACTAGTCACATAACATTTCGAGTTGTAGACACTAAGTCTACTATAGGCTGTATTATAACATAAAACAACGTTAACACTACAAAAGCTATCAGCGCTGTTGACAGTCCTCCTTGCGAAGCGGTGAAGAAGTCCATGTTCAACCCTATTGTGATGGTTATAAGGCCCATTGAAACTGCAAACATACCTACCGCAAGATGTAGAATTTTCACAGGTCCGCTTTTAACCATTAACCTTACTTTAGAAGAAAATAACGCTATTATGCCGCTGATGAAACTGACTAGAGTAAATGCTAATGCTATAACACCTGTAATTGAAAAAAAAAAGATATTATTATTATTTTATAAATTTGACAGTTGCGTTTATTTTATGAAATTCGCTATAACTATTTTTTTTGCCGTTTTTACACAATTAACTTATAGTCAAAGTTTATGTTGAGCCTCATGAGCTAACCTATCAGACCACGCATATTTGGAATAGCCTTTTAGACTACAAAAAGAGTTGTTGGTTTGAAAAAAAAGAGAAAAAATGAAACCTCGGAAATGGTTGAATCGATTTCGATGAATTATTGAAGAAAAGTTATAATTGACTTAACGGGTTATACCTACTGCTTAGTAGCGATCGTATCAAAGTCACATCAAAGATCGGCTGACAGAGTGGGCTGGGTTTGGGCATTGCAATTGAATGAACAACGCAAACAAACAGATGAAACTATAGTAAAGATTTTCGTTTGCTTTAGTAAGATCTAACAAGGTTTTTCTATATCTGTCAAGCGGTTAAGAAATGATACTGTCACGCTTATCTTATTTTATCGTTTCTGTAAACAGGCCAAATAGAAATATTCTATTAAAAAGTTTAATAGTTAGAATAGTTTTATAGATGTACTAGAACGTTCAACGGAACTTGATATGTAACGTGTTCAAATGAAAACTAAAATTCAATTTCAAATTTGAATAAACGCTCACCGAAGCCACTACGCAATTGATAATAAATTTCATACATTTCTAAATCCTTGTCAAGGAGGGTTTGGTTAAAGAGGTTATAGACCCACCACAAATATATATTTTTTAATCATCAATTACTTAGAACGTTTCCATTGTATTTTTGTTTGTTTGGTTTACACAAGGATAAAATCTACACACATTAACGCTTAACTAGAATATAAGAAATGGATACACTATTGAGTTTACCCTTTTTAGTGTGAACACTTTTTTACTGGTGGCAGGACCTCTTGTGAGTCCACATGGGTAGGTACCACCACCCTGCCTATTTCTGCCGTGAAGCAGTAGTGCGTTTCGGTTTGATGGGTGGGGCAGCCGTTGTAACTATACTTGAGACCTTAGAACTTATATCTCAAGATGGGTGGCGTATTTACGTTGTAGATGTCTATGGGCTCCAGTAACCACTTAACACCAGATGGGCTGTGAGCTCGTCCGCCAATCTAAGCAATAAATAAAAAGTGCATCCTATAAAAGAGCTTTTGAAATAAGAAAAAAACGCCTTGTGTAATACTGACCGCAGATTCCGTGGGCAGTATTGATTTGCATGTTCACTTCTGCCAGGGCCAGAAAAGTTCCGGCTAGGACAAACAGAGCTCCTATTAGCTGCAGACAGCCGTGTATGATTCGTTTACTGTCTTTTGATAGCTGCGAGGACCATGAGTTGTGTCGGTGCAACGTCATTATAGCTTCTACCAGGAACAGTTGGTACTGTAATGAAAATTAATGATGGCCTGAAATAGCTAATGAAGTTTGTACGTACGTATTTAATGTAGGTACTCATGTGCAATTAAGAGTTGAACATTCTGGATTCGGTAAAATTGTGATTTGTTAATCGGATGATATGATCCCGATTAAATTTTAAATAAATTAATTGTAAATGGGTAATTCAACTTAATGTCCATCTGGAGCCGTGTAGTTATCGAAGTCCATCTAGGTGATGTACCTAGATGGACTTCGATAACGTTAATGCTGTGTGCCTTTAGACATGGGTACGAACTTTCAATTGTAATGTTTTGATGCTTCTGTCATATTTTTGAAGCGAAACGTTTCAATTTCTTGGCAGATATAGGGAGGATGTTGGTACCTATTGATGTAGGCTTATACATAGTACGTCCTGTTACATTTAAGTTCTAGTACATTTTACCATTAAGTAGTGATAGTTTTACGGTTATTATATATATTTACGGTATTATATATATTTTATCTCGACTATTAGGCTCAATATCTAGACAGAAGTTCCATGATTTCCTTCTCACCCACAAAAAAACCCTTTACAATTCCTACCCTATTTTCCGAACCAAGACTCGCTTCGACTTTTGATGCCAGGCTGTTTGAGAGAGAGTGGCGATAGTAAAACAGGTAGCAACATCGAAAGATAAGACGTGGAAAAGTCTCTTTCAAATATTGTCCATTCCTATTGTCGCACTAAAAGCATTTTAATTCGAAGGGATAAAAATATATTGTGTAAATATGTTATATAAAAAAAAAAAATTTTGCAGATAAATAATCCCTTTGTCAGATACTTTTAAATCTTGTTCGTCTGGAATACTAATAAAATAAGATCAAACTAGTCCAGACTTGCGATTTTATCGAGCGTTTCTTACACAGTTTTTGGTTTTATAAGCAGTTTAAAAATAATTTTAAATGATTACTTGAGGTAGTGCCATCTCTAGGTGATTGTTCGCAAGATATTGAATAACCAGAGCAAGATTCACCACCTACAGCTTAATTTTCGAAAAAAAATATGATGTTTTTATTTGGATAAACCAAAATACCGGTGTTGAGTGATTACGGTTATTGGGTACTCGAAAACACCTTAATATTTATCCTGCTAAAGTTTTAAGCCAATTGTATTATAAGAACGAAGAAACTTAAGTGTAACTTTCTGGATTTATTTTCTAAATTCGGATCTGCTTTGCAAAGATATAATTTTTTTATATACGTACACCAGTTCCCGCGAATATAATATGAAGTTGTAAATTACTGATCGCCCCGCTTGGTGCTGAAGTTAGCGCGAAATGCCACAGGGAGAACACAACAATGGCCACTTGCATGTGTTGGAGCAGATTGAAGAGCTGACAAATAGATCTCCAAGCTGAATCCCAGGAGGAGTTATACAAATCTCCGCTCTCCTCGTCGTATGCTGCCGGGGCCCTGGTTATCTCCGCTTGATACGGAACATGCTCCCTAACCTCGAACATTTCCACCTTCTCCACTGACTGTTGGCTTGTGCTTGGTCTATCCATTTTCGAACTCAATAGGCCTGCACAAACCGTTACGAAAAACACACCGACTTTCTCAGAGGGAAGTCAATACGCGATCACATGGGTTAATGTCGATTTCAGCACTAAAAAATTGTAGTATTTGGCCGAGATAGCGGTAGGTACTCTTGTTTAAGATAAGATGAGAGAATTCGATCGCTTGTTCACCTATCGTCATCGAATTGACAGTTTTTAGATTAGGATGAATCTTGCGTAAGTTTGATAACGCGGGATGGTGTAGTGTTCGGTTTATAAATGTTATCTTAACCAGAGCTCTTTTGCGGTATTTCGAAATATTTTACGACCACTGAAAGTACAGCAGCGTGTTTGTCATAAGATCGGAATGCATTTTATATTTGTCGAAATATCTATAAATTTTCAGATATTGATAATTCATATCTGAGTCGGAAAAATGGTGGCCATGGATTTCTTCATCAACCACTTAATGCCAGTAATGCTCTGTGATTACTTGGCCGCTTAAAATTGAATAAAACGATTGAGAATTTCACACTGTTTTAGGATTATTGTAACTTAATAGTTAAAAGCGGCATCCCATAAATTTTCGTTAACCCCGATTTGATCTCAGGCTTAATATTTTCATCAGACAACTTCGACGTTACGTAAATTTGGAGAAATCCCATTAATTAAAAAATATATAATAACTGTATAGGTGCATCATATTTAAAAAAATATATCGGAGCTTACTATTCTTTGCATACAGAAAGAACTGGGCGTACTTTGAGGTCATTATCGTATTCGTTGTTCTCCACCAAAACTTTAAACTATTATAATAAAATAGTCGGATATTTTTAATTTTGAAATGCATAGCTATTCGTACGTCGTAAAATCTGTTCTACCCTTAGATTTTTTAGGATAAGACTGTAAAAGAAAAATATTCGATTGTTCAACTAGATATCTTCATAAATGAAAGCATTTTCATGCGTGTTATTTCATTTAGGGTCAAAACTCATATCACGGTTTTTTTTGTTCATATCTACGGTCAGCCCTGGACTATGAGTAGATACGTTGCGTGTGCCGTCGGATCAAAAATACCAAAACCACAGATAAAAAATAATTCGTAGAGTTTATTTAGTGACTTAAATTATAATATAAATCGTTAGTATTTCATACATATCGTTCTGGAGGCGCTCGGGTAGCTGTTAACAAATCCAAACATAAAAAAGAACATATAGTGCTAAAGTAGGTAAATGTTTTAATTTGATTAAGATTCCTTTATAGAGAAAATCACGTTTCACCATTTTGTCTATACGCTCTTACCTGCCTATTTTCTTTTTTTTTATTGCTTAGATGGGTGAACGAGCTCACAGCCCACCTGGTGTTAAGTGGTTACTGGAGCCCATAGACATCTCCAACGTAGATGCGCCACCCACCTTGTTATATAAGTTCTAAGGTCTCAAGTATAGTTACAACGGCTGCCCTACCCTTCAAACAGAAACGCATTACTGCTGCACGGCAGAAATAAGCAGGGTGGTGGTACCTTTTTTTTTTTTTTTTTATTGCTTAGATGTGTGGACGAGCTCACAGCCCACCTGGTGTTAAGTGGTTACTGGAGCCCATAGACATCTACAACGTAGACGCGCCACCCACCTTGAGATATAAGTTCTAAGATCTCAGTAGAGTTACAACGGCTGCTCCACCCTTTAAACCGAAACGCATTACTGCTTCACGGCAGAAACAGGCAGGGCGGTGGTACCTACCCGCGCAGACTCACAAGAGGTCCTACCACCAGTAAAAATGTTACTTTAATTCAATATACAATCCAAATCTATTAGGTATATTTCCAATCAATATTATCTCATTTGCGAAACACTCAATACCAGGAGCTGTTATTTAGAGTATTGTTACAACACATTGCTAACAAATTACATTATGTGGATATAAGTCATTACTGACTCGAAATGTAACTATTTCGAGGAAAAAACCGAAACGGATTGTCCCGGGGCTGCCGCACTAACCTATTAATAAGATCAGAGACAAATCTTTTGTAGCTAGCCGCTTACAATTAGGGAGGAAACTTGTATACGCCTCCCAATTAATAAAGGCTCTAATGAATTCCGTACCTGAGGGTCCGATGGTAGGACACGTGCAGGCGTGACCCATTTGTCAACATAACACGAGATAATGAGAGTTCAAACGCAAGGGGTATAGATACAATAATTCTTATTTCTTTTTTTTTTTTATCTTTATCAAGCACTTGATCATAGTTTTGTTGAATTTTAATAGGTCCACAATATGGAATAGCAGAATCGTCCTAAGGAAAATATGATTTCTAAAACATAATCATTTTCTCAATAAGTTGAAAGCAGATAAGCTATCGTGTGCCATAGATTGAAAGTGAAACCTTGTTCAGAAAAAAGGTTTTGGTGTAAATGTGAGTTGAGCTGGGTTTTTTTTCCAATAAGTTTCAATAGGTTTCGGTAATAAAGTATTTACCGAACCCATAGACGACACTCCCGCAACCTCTTACGACCGGAGTCTGGCAAGGCTCCTATCTAGTACTCCTACTAATAACAATTCCATTCTAAAAAAAATAGGCGTAACCACGAGACATAAATAGTCTAAATTTCACTTGTATAGCGGCTGTCCCACATTTTACATCAGAACGTATTGCCGCTTTGCGGGAGAAATAGATAGTGGTACCTACCCGCGTGGCTTTACAGGACTACCAACCACCTAAATTTTAACTTTTGCGGGCTTTCATTTTATTAAACGACGCTATTTCTTGATCACGAAAGTAATTCGTCAACGTGTTCAATATAGTTCGGACACTGGCACTCGATACTAGTACACCAGACTTCAATCTTTTTTTGCTTCCTATCTAAACATAAATTTAACATTTACCTTTTGTTCGTTGACCCGCGTTTCGATTATAAGCGTCCAAGGGTTTATTTGCTTTATTAAGGGCTTATTATTTTCAAAGAGAAATAGTCAACTGAATATTTATATTCATAATTTTTCCAAAAAATTAAAAGTACTTAAAATAACATCAGTGTATCAAGAAAATTTTCTCCACAATTAAGTCTTTACTTTAAAATAGCTGCACGCATATTACCTTAGGGCGTTTCAGTACTCGTCTAATCCAGATAATATTATACTTTCCGAGATGCAGCGATTAAATATCGATTCTCTGGAGCACAGCATTTATCGTTTATTGAATCTTACATGTTCATTATGGAAGTACGTACCTATCAATTTCTTAAACATCAATAAAATTACTGAAAAACATCATATAATATATTTAAATCTAGTTAGTTACGGCTTAATCTTGAGTTTTTTCATACTGATTGAATTGTTTTCGACGTTATGAATATTTTTTAAAGTACTGACGACCTTTTTTTCTCTATCTATGAGCACACGGGCTCAAGTTGAGAGAATTTGCTAACACTAGCTCTAGCAAGAGCAGTCTTTCGCACAATCTTCTACCGGACCCGAATAGCGACCCATTGAGAAGATCCAGTGAGAAACTCAGTGGGCTGTGTGGGGTTAGTTCGCACGTAGAAGTTCTTCGTCGTAATCGACGAACTCGACGAGGATGGTGACCGGTGTGTTAGGGGCCTAAAGTACCGAAAGTGCATCCGGACAAAACATGTTTCGGGCGACGGCAGCTTTGCTTTGCTTCGTCGCCTGGGTTATATAAATATCTAGCGGCGGTCAAGATAAGACGATGATCGTGGTGCGCCGCTTTCTCGAAGAAGCGTTCTGACGCTACCTTATGATACTTACGTATTGTTTCTAAACGGACGAAACTACGACACTACTAAGCGAAACTTTAAAGTGTACGAAACATTGGAAATAACACGAGGGCAATATAAAAACAAGATGTTAAATCATACAAGTAGTTTTAATTAAGTATGTCTAAGAAAGCTATGATTGTATTTTTCTAGTATTAGAAGTCTTCGTCAAAGTATTAGAAGTATTTAGAAGTCGTCGTGACCTAAAGGCTAAGACGTCCGGTGCATTCGTATCTAGCGATGCAACGGTGTTCAAATCTCGCAGGCGGGTACCTATTTTTCTAATGAAATGTGTACTTAAAAAATGTTCACGGTTGAGTTCCACGATGAAGCAATAACATCGTGTAATAAAAATTAAACTCGCAAAATTATAAATTGCGTAATTACTGGTGGTAGGACCTCTTGTGATGACTCACAAGAGATCCTACCACGCACGTCCTGCCTGAGGTCCTGATGCACGGGTAGGTTCCACCACCCTGCCTATTTTGCCGTGAAGCAGTAATGCGTTTCAGTTTGAAGGGCGGGGCAACCATTGTAACTATACTGAGACCTTAGAACTTATATCTCAAGGTGGGTGGCGCATTTACGTTGTAGATGTCTATGGGCTCCTGTAACCACTTAAAACTAGGTAAGCTGTGAGCTCGTCCACCCACCTAAGCAATAAAATAAAATAAAAAGATTTTATAGTTCTTGTTGTATTGGATTGATTAATGGATGAGCTGAGTGCTTACTGGCTACCGGTATCCACAGATATTTCAACGTGGATGGCACTGTTCGCATTGACATCAGACCTCGAAGTCATAATTATATTGTAAAACAGATATTCTAAGCCATCATAAATAGAGAAAACGGTGGTACCTGCGTGTCCCATAATCGGCTCTACCACCGTTAAATTGAAATATCCGTAAAACGAATAAATAATACGTAGGTAAGAAAATTTGGTAGAATAGGCAATGTTAAAATAAAATATTAAATTAGCGTTTGGACTCTGAATGAGATGTCTTCCTTAATATAGCCGTAACGTGTATTCGAGTCGAGAATGGGGACAAACAAACATACTTAAATATAAAACGAGGTTATAAAATCGGTTTCAAAATGCAACTGCCACGCGGACTGTATTAAAATTAAGGAAACAGTGTGAGAACGTGACAGTAAGACATTAAAAATATTTATAGCTTTAACTCGATTTGACGATGATCGAATCGTCATGTTTTTTGTGTGGAAATGAAATGA